TGCTTCTGCTCTTCTGGCGTACTGCTATGTGCTACTGCACTGTCAACCGGGAGATGCGAACTGGTTCGAGAGCTTCCAAAGGGCTTCCATCTTTTTTCAGAACACCAACAGCACCCAATTTGTCCGGCGCCAGAAGCAGCGGCAGCATATAACAGCAGCTACCGATAGCTACCGAACTCTTACAAGATTTGCAAGGAGCAAGTGGAAGTGAGAGCAGGGATGGCAATACATCATCATCGTCATCATCGTCATCATCAACATCATGAACGTGATGCCTGAAAAACGGATAGAGAAGATAGAGCACAAGAGTTTCGCAAGCGTTAGCGAACCAAGAACCACAAGGCAATGAATGAGGACTTCTTGCAATGCGGATCACCACCCGATATGTTTTCGTGTCACCGAACGCAGTCGTAGCACATGCCAGCGCCTGTTGCGAGTCCTTCCCGGGCTTCCACCACCAGCAGAGACAGGGCACTTGGGGTAGGGAGATGTAGGGAGTGCATTGATTGACTGCGGTCCCTGTCCCTTCACACTAGAGGGTACTGTTTGAGCTTCCAATTTCATGGCATCCATGCTGAAATAGCAGTCGCAAAGATCAAGCTTCATCTTTGAAAGTCTGACGCTTGTGCATCTTGTTTGCAAAGATGCGCTGAGGCCCGATACTTGCAGAACTCCGTGTGTCAATGGTTCCGTCAGTTCCGGGATGCGAGGCAAGTGGTTGTTCCAGTCGTCTTTATGTGTGCAAGATTTGGCTCCATGCTGCGCATGTGCTGGACATATGCGTTTGGCCAATTGATGCAGGACTTGCTTGCATCAGCCGGCCATGATGTGCTCATTACGCCATTGCCTCAGTTGCTTTTGCGAAATGCAGAGCAATATAGTATAAGTGTGTCGTCGAAGGCCTGCGGGGAATCCCAGTGGATCTGGGCAGTCTGCGCAAGACTTAGTTGCGATGGGCAACATGGAGCCAAGTAGTGTTCCCTCCATGGCTTGTTGAGGCAATGGACAGCTTCGGCGACATAAAGCAACGCTTACAGGAGTGGACATTCTGACTTGCCCATGCAACTTCCCTCGCACGGTTTGACTTGTACCAGTAACTGCTACAACTGTCGAAGCATATTCATGCTAGGATGAACATAGAATCATCCTGAAATCCTTGGAGCGTAGACTTCCAACAGGACAAGGCAGTGAGACGAAGAAAAGCCAAGCAGAACCCAGGCATGCCGCGGGTCAAGCGTGTAGAATCACGTAGATGTCCCCTCATCATTCCACGTGAGTGACAAAAGTCGTGCATGTCCGTGCAGGCAACCCGGCCAGCCCACCCAAAGCACTTTATGCTGGAGCCCTGGGCAGACGAATGGCTCGGAAGAACCATGAAACATGCATGCAGCAGAATCAGTGTCATTGCCCGTGGGTGTAATTGTGTTGCTCCTCTCTTCGTGTCCCCAGGTGAACAACATTAACCGACAACGTCACCACTGCTGCTACCGGACACTTTACGGCCCGCCTTCACTTGTACAGAGCGTGCATATTCTGGATTACAGAAAACCCCGAGGCAAGAATGATGCAGAGCTGACGCACGAAGATGTGATGCCACCGGATCAGGTTGCTGCGATGAGCCGGAACCATAGATTGACAAGATTTGACAAGCTATTCCAGAGTGTCCTAAGTAGTGCACTTGCAAAAGCGGGAGTCCCCGTGCCAGGTCTTCCTAGTGAGGTGGACGTGGCAGGCTTCTTTGCGGTGGCCACGCTCGGTCCCTGGTGAGCACGGTCGGGACTCCGGAGAGCCTTTCTGAGATGAGAAACTGCAGAGGTTTCTGGACTTGAGCCCCAGAAAGTGTTGCACGCATCGGTTCTCGTCCCTACACCCCAGGCACAAGAAAAAGGGCACCAGCGATTAGTTCTCTTCGAGAGCGAAGGACACGACCAGGATTCGTCCATGCGACAAAAGCCATGAATAACAATGACCAAGACGATTGAGCAACGAGTTGCTGGACTTGCTTGCTGTTGTTACATGCTATGAGTCATGGGTAGCAAGATGTAGCAAGTATGTTGAGCGGCAGTCCTTTGGACAGCATGTCACCAGGTCTGTGGATCTTCAGCATTTGGATCTAGGCATCGGGCTCAGCCGTAGCTTTCCAGCCTCCGGCTGCCATCAGTGACAGCTGTCAAGGACCCGCTCACATAGCAAAGTTGCCGGAGCTTACGGAGTTGCCTGCGCTCACCCACGTCCCGACCTCGGAATGAGCAAAGTGCTTGAGGGTTGCAAAAGCTTCCAAAAAGAGGCCTCGGCGTACTTTGTTGTGCATGGATACGAGTAGCCAGCTCAGAAAGAGTGTTGCTATCACGCAGGTGAATCTGAATTACAACCATTTGGGTGATGCTGGAACCGAGCTTTTGTTCGCAACTTAATGGGGGTCCTTGCTGATCTGCAAAGCAGGCCTTGGATGGTACGACCGGAGCTTCTCCCGGCCTGCAGGTTCAGGGCCCTCGTCGACACTGGAAGCAGTGTGGAGCATGTTGCCTTGGTTTCCAACGACATTGGTGATGAAGGCCAAGCCATTGTTTCAACCGACAGAAGGTGCAGATCTTGTCGTTGTCAGGTGCCTCCATCATTGCTGCCAGCCTTGGCAATCTTCCACGCCTCACCAGTATCGAGCTGGGTGACAACTTCATACAGGAGATTTTTCCGACATCGTTACAGAGTTCGGTCTTGGTTCCTCTGGGCTGTGTGCTTCAGAGGAGCGGGGAAGCATCGCCATCGCAGAATCTATCGGTGGAGTTGCTCCTCCTGATGAAGGCGATGACATCGAGGCGCTGTTGATGTCGCAACTACCTACACCGGAAATCCCTTGTGCCACGAAACGTGACGACAGGCGGTGTCAAATGTGCCATTGCCCGTGCTTTCAGTTGACCTTCGTGGGAACCGGAGCCGCGACTTGGCGGCTTCAGACGTTGAGGGTTACTTGCGTCAGCACAGTGATTCTGCAGCTTCCTTCGTTTAAAAGCTCGCACACCCATTCCGGCTCCCATGTAGGAAATGAAGCTCTCCGGGGGCATGATCTTCAGCCCAACACCGTCACTTGAACTTGTGAACTCGCACTCGAAGGAAGACTGGATGGCAGTCGCGAAAGGCTCTTGGGATAGGGCTCCGCCTACTCCAGCAAACCTGGTCACTGTTTTTGTTCCAAGCCATCCATCGCCAGAAGCATGAGAGTGCAGGGTCCAAGCCATCCATCGCCAGAAGCATGAGAGTGCAGGGTTCTGCTGGGTTTTCCGTTCTTCCCGGTCCCAGACCATGCGGCTGCACTGCTGCTGCCCTTCCAGTAGCCATCTCTCTGCTGTGTCCTCTGAGCCCAGACATCTTCGCAATCCACAGCCGCGCGACACTAATGAGCCCAATTCCGGACACCAGGTCGCGTAATTTCAACAATACCAACGCCTCAATCAAAAGCAGCGCAACCAGACGGAATACGGAATTCGAGTTTCATGCCAGCAAAGCACAATCTAAACACACTGAAGTATAATATATATATATATAGATATATAGATACATATATAATATAAAGTCTCGAATCTCGCAAGCTGGTGAAACCAAGACCTTCTTGTTGAACAAGCCCCGTCATTACAACCTATCATTCTAAACAATATGCTCACAAGGGAAATCCCGCGACTCAGGCGAGCTTGGAGCGCGCCGCTGGGCGGAGGCAGTGGCAGAGTGGCACGTGACCTTGCCTTGGCAGCTACACATGCTGAGCATCCTCGGGAGGTGGTCTGCAATCACCCTGACCTGAAGTTTCTTAACCTGGCACAGTCAGGGCCGCAGGGCGGGTTTGCTTGCAATGGTATCGTCCACTACCCCTCCCAACTTGAGGTGTGCCGACCCAAGGTTGATCCAAGATTTTTAGAAGTTTCAAAGTTCATAATGCCCAGTAGAGCGATGTCTGGATCGGCCATGCAAAAGTTATGGTAAATCGAACACATCGGCAAACGTGGCTTCACATGGCTTGCCCTGCCCCTGTGTGGATGACGAAGCCTGGGGTGCTGGCTGCGTGGGTCGTGTTGATGAAGAGTTCGTGGCTGGAAGCGCGAGTTGTGAGCGCGGGTCATTGCAGAGTTCGTGTGCGATGGGACGTCGTGCGCTGTCGTGGGCCCTCGGGGCAGAGGCATTCCGGAGCTTGGGGCATCGTCACAGCGTCTCCCTCTCATTCCCAGTCCACAGCTTCTCTTGTTCGAAGTAGGAACTAGGCAGATGAGGCAGACTGCCCGGATGCTATTTGATTTCGTACGGCCACTGAGAAGCTGCCTTTTGCAAGTGAAGCTAGCGACTGCTTGCGCGAGTCTTCCGACTGCAGCTTGCTCACGCTTCATGTGATGCATTTGATGCAGGTTGTTTTTGAGAAAGCGCATTGATGGCCGAGGAACGAGCTGGGCCTGTTGACCAAAGAGATCTTTCTAGATTTAGGCTGGGCAGTGAAGATGGTCAGATTGTCAGACGAGTGAGACACCAGTTGACTTGGGAAGCGCTTGCTGCCTGTGTTTGGTCAGTCTGTGCCGCTGTTACATCTGCCTCACTGAGTGCGTGTGCCCTGGGTGTTCTGCATCAATATGGTGCTTAGAGCACCATGCATAAATCACCAAACGACGTAGGCACGATTTTCTGTCGCGTTGTTGTGCTTAGGTTCTGGATTTGCAGGACAACTTTCCGGTTGCCGGCCTCGGCAGCTCAGAAATGGGCCCACCACCAACGGAGGTGAGCGAGGACCCTGTAGCTCGTTGTTGGTCACAGTGTGGGTTTGAACCTGCTGTTGCCCCCGCAGGACAGAATCTTCCAGAATAGGTACAGTTTGGTAAAGTGTAGGGCAACGTGTTAGACGTTTTCACATCAATCTTTTTTCGCCACACGTGAAGAAGGCAGACAACCATGCCCGGAGGTAGTACGGTTCCATGTCCCTTTCTATCCTCTAACTTCACATTTTGGACGACGACAACTGCACCATGAGCATGTTGTCTCGCGGTGCCATCGCACCCATGCGGCGAACCAGGCAGAGTGGACGCACTCCACCGCCGCCCATAGGCAAGCGACGACCGCTTTCGAAAGGGGCGGACACGCCGCCTGTCCCGAGATTGCAGACTCCCCGCACATCGCATCCAGCATCGCGAGCCAGTGGCGCAGAAAACGAGCAGGACAACTCTGGGTTTGAGCTACATTCAAGCTACCCTTCCAGTACCAAAAGAGTTGCAGAAGCCGTCAACGACTTCTGGAAGACATTGCGACCAGGCAGCGGTGCGCACCAAATATCGACGGAGCCCCGCTGGAGATTCAGTCCATTAGCCAGAGATCTGGAAGCCAAGCAGAGGACGACCAGGCCCAACAGACCGCAATCCAGCGAGAAGCATCCGGCGCTTGCCTCGCCTCGGGAACCAAAGCGCCACTCTTCTGAATGAGCAGTGCAGAGCAGGATCAATGCAGAGCAGCGGTTTGAAAAGTCGAGAAGCTGAGGACATGTCGGGCAGGAGCTTTCACAGCCATCGCCGGAACAAAGGACTCCGCGCCAGGCTGGAGTCTAACCTCTCAGCATCTCTTCATAGAAACATGCCTAGGTTGCAGTTCGCTGCTATCGTCCTCTGCCTCCGCCTCTTTCTCATCGTCATAACTCGGGTCATTCTGATCATCGTCGCATCGTCGTCGTGGTCGTCGTCATTATCGTCATTGCCATGGGCAACCAGAAACGAAGGTTTCACTATTGAAGTAGGAAGTACAGGTGGAAATACAGGGTCTTTGGTTGGGGTTGGGGAGGTTCCGGGATCCGTGCGTTTTGTGTTCGCAAAGCGTTCTAAAGCGTGTGAAAGCGTTCTTTCTGCTGAATGTGTTGACAACGCCCGAGCTGCACTTGGGGCAGTCCAGCCAAAGCGCAGCTTTTTTGCGCGGTCTTTGGTGCGTTTTTGTCTGGTATGCCTCAAAAGTGCAGACAGTCACCAGGATGAGGGCTCTGGAGGCCTTGGAAGTGCGCCAATTTCGTGACTGTCGGCACTTTGGGAGTATGGGTTCTTCAAAAGTGCAAAAGTGACGAGGATGAGGCACCTGGGGAGCACCATCCTCGTGACTGCCGTCATTTTTTAAGCTTCGTGTCACAAGGTGCAGACTGTCTCGTCGTCGTCTAGGGGTGGTGAAGGCGGTGGTCTCCGGGGTGGTGGGTGGTATGGGTGGTATGGGTGGTATGGGTGGAATGGGTGGTATGGGTGGTATGGGTGGTATGGGTGGTCGGGGTGGCAGGTGTGGCAGGTGTGGCAGGGGTGGCAGGGGTGGCACAGGTGGCACAGGTGGCACGGGTGGCAGGGCTGGTAGAGGGGTGGTAGAGGGTTGGTGGTCGCCTGGAAAGGTTCTTTGCAGCACAAATTAAGTGCGCGAACGCCTTGCGGAGGCCTCCCGGAGCTCTGAGCCTGGAAAATCGTTGTAGTACAATTCAGTATGCGACACGTTTCTCGGAGCTCTTGACCTGAAAAGACAACTACGAAATGAATCATGAGCTGACTATGCGGATTACGAAATTCTTTCATCTGCAAACGAGTTAAAAGAGAAGATAAATAGAATGACCACAAAGTGGGGTTGTATAAAAACCCCGCGCGTTCGATTTATGAAAGGAGTTGCCCGAAGCGTTTGGGGCAGTGCCCCTGACTCGTAAAACGATAATCAAGAAAAAAAGATAACGTTATAAAACGGCCTGATTGCTGCATCGCGGCAGGCAGGCGACACCAGTACTAAGCTTGTACTACAAATCAACGAAAATCCAGCCGGCTCACAGGACGGCGGTTCCAGTACTAAGCTTGTACTACAAATCAACGAAAATCACGACGGCTCACGCGGACGGCGGTTCCAGTACTAAGCTTGTACTACAAATCAATGAAAATCCCGCCGGCTCACGGGGACGGCGGTTCCAGTACTAAGCTTGTACTACAAATCAATGAAAATATCGCCGGCTCACGGGGACGGCGGTTCCAGTACTAAGCTTGTACTACAAATCAATGAAAATATCGCCGGCTCACGGGGACGGCGGTTCCAGTACTAAGCTTGTACTACAAATCAATGGAAAATCCCGCCGGCTCACGGGGACGGCGGTTCCCGTACTAAGCTTGTACTACAAATCAATGAAAATCCCGACGGCTCACGCGGACGGCGGTTCCAGTACTAAGCTTGTACTACAAATCAATGAAAATCCCGCCGGCTCACGGGGATGGTGGTTCCAGTACTAAGCTTGTACTACAAATCAATGAAAATCCCGCCGGCTCACGGGGACGGCGGTTCCAGTACTAAGCTTGTACTACAAATCAACGAAAATCCCGCCGGCTCACGGGGACGGCGGTTCCAGTACTAAGCTTGTACTACAAATTAACGAAAATCCCGCCGGCTCACGGGGACGGCGGTTCCAGTACTAAGCTTGTACTACAAATTAACGAAAATCCCGCCGGCTCACGGGGACGGCGGTTCCAGTACTAAGCTTGTACTACAAATTAACGAAAATCCCGCCGGCTCACGGGGACGGCGGTTCCAGTACTACGCTTGTACTACAAATCAACGAAAATCCCGCCGGCTCACGGGGACGGCGGTTCCAGTACTAAGCTTGTACAAATCAATGGAAAATCCCGCCGGCTCACGGGGGCGGCGGTTCCAGTACTAAGCTTGTACTACAATCCATGAAATTGTAGGTTGTTCCACAAAACCCTGTAAAACGATAATCAAGAAAAAACGATAACCCTAGAACGGATGAATAGATTTATAACGGGGTTTTTATATAACCCCAAGTGAAGAAATAATATATTGTGATGAAGTTTCTACATTCAAAAAAGCATTTCCTGAAGACATAGCAGCAGTAGATAACGGAAGTGCATTAGCAAAAGTGAATTCAACCCGGCGTCACAGCATCCAGAGCCTGCTTTCACAAACGGAGCCATGGTCACAGCTTCTGGGGGTTCTGCTCACTTCACGATGGGGGACAAATGGGAGACAATGTTTAGAGCAGTGCCGCGAGAACACAAGGAACATCACAGAAGCCATGTCCAAACAAGATCAGAGCCCCAGTTATTTGGTACATATATATATGTATATATATATATATATAGAATCAGAATCACCATCATCAGCATCAGCAAGCCAGCAGGCCAGTCATCCTCCATCCATCCCCTCCATCCATCATCCGCAGCTGAGAGACTTAAACACGACTCGGTAAGTGCTGGGCCAGAGTACTTCAAGCTAAGTGCTGCAGGCCGTCGATGGAGCGCTGAGTCCGCGGCTGCATGCTGCTGACAAGCGAGCAACAGGAGTAGGTTTCAAGAATGGTGTTGTGTCTCGTTATGCGAAGTGCGAGCAAGGCCCCACCGTTCAAGTGCACCCTGAGCAGGTTCTGATGTACGCAACGTTCTCGCCTCTACCGTTCGTTGCTCTGCAACACCTCCTGCTGTCGCCTTGATGGCAGGCCTGCCTTGCCACTATGGCGAGGCAGACAAGTCCAGAGAGAACACTTCGCGTGAAGTTGCAGAGAATTCTTCGCCTGCAGCCTGCCGGGAGGGGGATGATGGACAGGACCCAGCCACACAGAACCAACAGGTGTTCTGCACTGACATGGAAAGCGCTGATGGCAAGTGTGCAGCACTGCATGGTGATGGAAATGAGACCCTTGAGCGAGCACGGCCAACATCCAGCGAGTTGGGGCCTGGAAACTCTGCATCTGAATCGTCAGTTGCTGTGTCGGAATCCAAGACCTCGGAGCAATCGCTTGCACAGGCCACAAGTTCAGAACAGCCGGAACAGCAGCTTGAGGCTCGTGAGACTGCGAGGACTGCGAGGACTGTGAGGCAAGGGGCTGGGTCTCACAAGTTGAGACATTTGAGAGATGGTGCTTTCAACGCTTGTGACGTCGCCGGCGACGGCGGCGACGGCGGCGACGACATGGAAGCCCAGGAAACAGAGAACCTCGAGAAAGAGCTCAAGAAGCCCATGGAGTCGGCCATGAGTCTGAGTGATTCGAAAGAGAAAGAGCTGTCTGAGATGTCTGAGCTACAGCAGCTACAATCTGGGGAGTCTGCGGGCCCTGCGGGCCCTGCGGGCCCTGCTGGCCCTGCGGGCCCTGCGGGCCCTGGCCCGGGCCCTGTGGGCCACCTGGGCTTCCAGAATGGGCAGACAACGAGCCAAGCGCACGTCGAGTCCGACGATCCTGTGGTGACGCAGCTCTGGGTTGACTGCAAGAGCTTGCGGCAAGAAATGGCAGAACTTCTGGAAGTTGTGCAGCGGACGTGCAAGAGATGCCATGTCTCTCCGGCTAGCCTCACTCCAGATTTGACTCCGAGATCTCGCGGACTGTCTCATAAATCGGAATTGCGGAAGCTCGTTGAGGCGTTGTGCCAAGCTCACGAATCAGCAGTCGCGGCCGCAGAGATCACAGATTCCCAGGCTCGCAGGGCTAGATCACCTGAGTGCTTGAGACGACGACAGTCGTCTGCACCAGCTCGTGCTTCTCGATCCGAACATCTCGGACAAGACTCCGAGAGAGAGGTTCTTGAACTGACGCAGGCGGTAGAGTATCTTCAAGGCAAGTTACATGCCGCCGAAGCAAGGGAGGCAGAGCTGAGGAGCCGCTGTGAGCGCTGTGAGCGCTGTGAGCGCTGTGAGCGCTGCGAAGTCCGCGAGACAGGAATCCGTGCGCAAGAGCCTCCCCGGTCACAAAGCGAAGGTGCACCAGAGCGAGCGCCAGAGCCGGAATCCAAAGACGAACTCCCGGACCCTGTCCAAGCTGCGCCAGGCGCGACATGCGCACTGCTGGCTTCGGTCATTTCAACTAGTACAGTATGGTAGTGTACTGCGTACTGGTATGTGCTGGTACTGTCAGGACTATAAACATGCTGACTGCTAAGCTACACTCTCGAAAATTGTCCAAAACGTTCGCTGCAGCGTTGGCTGCAGCGCAGATTGTCAAAGGCAAGACGGCAGACTAGAAGCCACTCTGAGACTCTGCACTAGGCTGCGCCGATCCTTTTGCGTGATTGGCAGCAGACCAGCCTCAGCAACCCAAATAGTCAGTTCTCAGAGGAAATGGAATGCCATTGCAAAAAGAAAGCTGTCACATGCTTTCACCATTGTGCAGATTGTGCAGGTGAACCAGGACAAATGATGCATGCCCTGCACAAGGCAAGAGCACATGTTTCACTGGCAAACCGATGCAAACTGATCCCGCCCTTGAGGTGTCGCGGGCATCTTCCTGGGCCTCCCTGGACTCCGGAACTCAGCTGTTGCAGCTGGCTGTTGACAAGCAAGCAGAGGCTGTGCCGCCTGACCCGCCATCCATGTTTATACCATCTTTACTTCTCCATCCTTTGCGCTCCGTCCAGACATGTCCAGACCGTATTTGCATGCACTCTGCTGTGGGCTAGAGCAATGTCAGGTGGCGGCGCTCGAGGCATTGAGTGAAACCGCCCCTCCTGGAAGTGAAGAGTGGATCCAGGCGGGGCATCTGAAGATAAGTAACATGAACTCCGTCAAGCATCCCAGCACTCTGCCCAGCATTCTGCCCAGCACTCTGCTTGGCGTGGAGGCAGCAACGCAACTGGCGGCGGCTCGTGAGGAGCTTCGCCTGCTCGGCTTCTCGGCCCCGAGATGTGACTCCTTGGCTTCCTCAGGCTTCCTCCACGTGCCAGTCACCTTAGTAAGTTGAGTGCGGTGGATGCGACCGTCCGTTTGGGCTTTACGTTCTTTACTTGCAAAGCACGACATGCCAGCTGGTTTCTGCCGCATGGAACCCCAGCTACCTAGGATCTACTGTTAGAAGTGTCTGGTCAGGCAGGTTCATTTTGCGGTACATGCTTAAGATCTATTTGTTGGCAATCTGACTGCAATGCCTGCGGTCTCAGGTGAATACATCCAGCCAGCACAGGCTGCCCAGGCTAGAATCATTGACGAATCGTTGCCCAAATGAGGCAGTGATGCTTGTACAAAGACGCAGCCTGAAATCATCCCGCCAAGACTGGAAGGGGGTGAATTTGGCTTTGCTTTCCGACATGGCACTTCGCCTGTCTAGACCTGAGCTCCTTCACAAGGTTGGGTCCAAGTCCAATGCTAATGATACTAAACTCGGCTGCCTGGCCCATGACAGCGCATTGACCTTGTTATGACTGTTGCGTGCTTTTTTCCGTTTCTGCCAATGCAAGCACAACCTGAGTGCAAAACAGATTCCGTTGCTCCCTGCCGTCAGGAGTTGCTGGCCGAACTCCCTGCTGGAGAGTTTGCTTCTGAGGGGGAGTCTTTTGAGTCTTGTGTGCTGGGGCGAGGGCGAGACGCATCTGGGTGCTCTGATAGCGGCTGATGGCCACAAGGTTTGACAACGCAGAAGTTCGAAGAGGTGCTGCTGCCTCGGAGGAAGTCTTGCTTGGTCTGCTTTAGAAGACGAAGATTCTACAGTAATTCTGCTCATAAATGCTAATACAGTACATAGTTGCTCTTCTTGGTCGTGGCTGACACCATCCCAACCTCCAAGGGCATCCGCCAACACCCTCGTATCATCCAGCCCAAGCAGGGGTAGAGTAGGGCACAGCCATGGGCACTTGTGACCAGGTGCTTTAGCTCGACTTTTGGGTTCCTGCTAGAAAAGCTGAAAGGTCTTCATCCGTCGACACCGTGGGGGAAGCTCTTCTGACAAGAAGGCTGTCGCAATCACCCCACCCCCCCCCGGTCCCACCCATGATGTGTTCGATTACAGTCATGGTTTGGGCTTAGGTGCAAAGTTTCAGGGTTCAAGATGTTCAATAGTTCCCTCTTTCCTCTTCTGGGCCGTCGCCTCCTTTCTCGGGGTATGCGTTTGAGCATGTGCGCGGCAAAAAGTAAAAGTGTGTGTGTGTGTGCGCGCGTGTGATGTGTGGCTGCGCTTGGGGTCGAATCCATGGTTTGGCTTGCCGAGGGCTTATCGTCATCGTAAAATTAGGTTCCAGGGAAGGTTTGCCCCCTGCTTAGGATTCCCCCACCTCCGTTGCGTGTGTTGGGTTTGGGCTTTTCAGGGGTGAATCGAACGGAGAGGGTTTGAACAGACCAACTTCGATGTGTGATGCGTGTGGAACCGTTCGTTGACTGCAAGTTTCTGGCCTGTGGTACAAACGCGGTGCTGCGTAGGTAAAATTATTGCTAGGTGATGCTATGTTGGCACATTCTCTGTTTGCAACGTATTCTGCCATGTCTCCCAATCGCTCGTGCATCCATCATGCTTTGGCAAAGAACACAGGCCCATACGCCATCAACAGTGAAATTCGGACATCCGGTTGCTGTTAAGACTGAGCCACCCGGAAAGTTCTCAATGCGAAGATAAGATGAGAGAGGAAGTGAGAATTGAGTGACGGGAAAGTGATCCGACAGTGAGAGGAAAGGGTGAAGTGCATCGCATTTCTTACTTTATTCTAACTTATTCTCACTGACTTTATTTCACTTACTTCCAAAGCAATTCTGAGACTCGTTTTATTTCCATAGTATCCCAGAGTTAACAGGGGCAGGGATGTCTAACAGTGGAACCCTACATGCCAGCCTATTGTCCGTAATTATGAAGGCAAAGATGAGATCTTTCCCATTCAAGAGAATGGACAATACGAGACAACAAACTTTGGTGAAGTCTGCAAAGCTGCGAAAGAGTGATCTATGCACAGCTTCCCAGTCTTGGTCTTCAAAGACCTTGACCTTGCTTCAGACATTGTCACGCAACTACTGTATGCTACAAGACAAGATGTAGACAAGATGCCAGGGAAGACAGCCGCAGCAAGGGGGAAGCAATCAGCGCAGTCCCGAGATGTTGCAAGTTTGCAAAGCATTGCTTGTGCACTGCGATTGCTTGAAACTGCTGTTGCCTAGGCGTCACACGCATTCACCGCCAGCTGTCCAGCAAGTACCGCCTTCTTAGGAGGAGGCTGGAAGTTCCATAGCTGCTGTGGATGGGCTGCTATCGTGAGGCTCAGGGGATCTCAGAGCTAATCAGAAAATCTTTGCGCACGTCCCAGGCAAGACGATTCCCGTGGAGCGCACTTCGGAGTTGTCCAAGAAGGCACGCTTCTTTGCCCACATTCGCAGCAAGCTTCAAGCTCGTCCTGCCCGAATACAGGTGCTGAAGTTTATTGCAATGAAATTCAGCATGCAATTCAGCCTGTGTGGGCTGGCTTCCGCTGCGCCATCAGTCCATGCCGCCTGCGAATCGTTTGTGAGCCGTGAGTTCAAAGAAAGTGTATTTCCAGTCACTTCTGCATGGACTGGTCGCGCCGGTGGAAAAGGTCAGTGAACAATGTAGGTGCACGGTCAGACTGTCAGAAATGCGAACCACATTATAGACTTGTGAAGCCATGGCTCTCTATATTCAGCGACTCTTCATGCATGATATGTTTACCTTTCGTGAATCGCTGCGCGAGTAGGATAGCTGCGCTTTGCGACCATGCTCACATGGCAGTGACACCCGAGTCTAAAGTGCGGAGGTGTCTGTATTTTGCCCGGGCTTGCGTGCAGCCAGAGTGCAACTTCAAGTTTGAGCAGGTCAGTTGAACACCTCTGAGAAGCGCATTCTCATTCGCAGTTTGTTGCTACGAAGGTCGGCTTGTTCAGATCACAGGAGGTTACTATTGCAGAATAGTCCAAGATCCCTCGTCCAAAAATGCTAAACTTGCTCAACTCATCTCAATTCTTGTTGCTTTGATGAGAATACAAAAATGCAGATTGGACAAGACGGGCACATCGATTGCAGCATGCATAGCAAATCAGCGAACATTCGAAGGCCCGCAGACAAGTACGATCGTGACACGCCATGGGCAAGGATCGGCGCAAATCCCGGAGTCGAAGCCGACGGCGGCCTGACCCTCTGGCCCATTGAATCCTTTGAATCCTTTGAGCTTCGCGCATCACAAGCGGATGATATGCAGCAGTCAGCAGTTTGACTTCGTCTAGGAATGATGACGAGGCAGCTCGCAGCCTGTGGTTGACGTTTAGTCCGAGCCTGCATGAAGTGTAAATACGAATGCGGAAAGCATCCGGCAGGACGAAGACTTATCTCCGGAGTCAAGGCTGAAACTATTGGAGGCGGGCCCTGTGTGTCTGCTGAGAGCCGTTGAAAGACAGCTGCTGCTGCTGCTGCTGTGTTTGAAATCGCAGGTGGAAAATACTACGCTGAAGGTACGAGAGTGGAGAAAGAAGTTATTGTTCAAACGTATTTCATTCAGAACTTACTCTTCCTCGGGCCTGGCGGGCCTTAGACTGTGAGGCGGAGAACCGGGAGTTGCGGAAGAAGCTTGTTGAAGCTTTGCGTCAAGGCAAACACCTGTGATGCAACAACCTTATCCTCAGGAGAAGACCACGAAATCATACGAAACAGGTGTTCAGCTTGAGTACTGCTCACCTCAAGATGAGTCCCTGAATGAAAGTCGGAGCCGTCACGTGTGCAACTTGTAATCGTTGCTGTAGGTGGAAACGGGGCTTCTGGCATGCCGGCCGCAAGCAGCTCTTTGCAATTCTTTGCAGTATGCGAGATGTGGTATGATGTGGTGCGTTGATGACAAAAGGCACTCGCACCAACTCAGACAAGAAGGAGGGCCGTGAGAAGGGTGGACAGCAAGTCGCCTTTCAGTGCCAAAGAGAAACATTTTGTGCCAATCTTGTTATCGGTTGAAGTGTCGCTGTCCAGCTACGCTTGACTGCAGAATCCTTGTTTGTTATTTGCCGGCATGGACATTGAATTTTCAGTAGTTGGCAGGAAGAGCGGCGCGAAGCAAGGGAGGTCGGAGCTTTGCACAGAGAAGTTGCTATCGGTAATTCTCTTGACTTGTGGAATTGGCGTGCCGCAGCTATCTAGCTATCTAGTCAATATAGTCATGAAACGGATGTAAGCCGGTGTGTAGCAAGTTGTGATCTTCTGACTGCAGGAGCCCGTGGTGACATCAGACACCAATGCTGTGCTTCTTGTCAACGCGCAGATGGAGGCCTACAACGAGGCGGCCGTGTCAATATGCTTGGGTCGCCTTTCTTAGCACAATGAGACGAAGGTCATGAGTAGGAAAAGTTGTCCGCCAGCCAATCCCCAACAACATTCCTCCGGAGAAGCGGCTGCCAATGGTGTCCGTGCCTCGCAGACTGCACGCATCCATGGTCGTCAGCATACATCAACGTCTTGCATCGATTTGCGCAGTCCATCTCGGAAGGGATCACTGAAGCCATGTGCAATTTGGTGCAGAGCATGTGCTGTTGCGGAGTGTCTCTGACATCTGTGCACTTCAACGATCTTCAATGCATTGCACGGCTTTGACGGGCATGACTCTCAGAACCAGCGTTGTTGCAGCAGCAAAGACAGTAGCACATAGCATTGCACCTCCTGGCTTTTGTGGCGAAAGCGAATGTTGTCTGGAACGCAACGCAGCGCCATGCGGCACCATGGCGAAGGCCAGCTTAAAGGGTCTTGGGGTTAGGGCTCATGCAGTGTTTTGTGGTGTTCATTGTTTTGTGTTTTTTTTTGTTTTGTGTGTGTGTGTGTGTGTGCGTGTGTGCGTGTGTGCGTGTGTGCGTGTGTGTGTGTGTGTGTGTGTGTGTGTGTGTGTGTGTGTGTGTGTGTGTGTGTTTGTTTGTTTGTTTTGGGGTTGAGGCTGTCAGTTTGCATCTGTATGACCAGGCAAACTGGACTCCGAAACAGTTAAAAATTGCAACCTAACCGCCCATGATCCTTTAACTACCCTTTAGCCGCCTTCAGCCTTCACCTGAACCCTGGACGCAAAATTTGCCAAGAGGGTCAGACCATTCAGGGCGATGTTTCTGGCGGGTGTGGATGGGGTTGATCTAAATTGTGAGCGCTTTGTTGGTAAGCTGACCCCGACAGGGAATCGCCACAGAGACCCGTAAAGGGCCCTTAATTTAGATTTTAGATCAGCCCCCATGTCCATAAAGGCTTTCGGGTTCATGTTTCATGCAACCGTTTGCAAGGAAAATATTCGTTTTGTCTCGAAGAGTGAAGGGCTTCAGGTTTCGTGCGCATTTGAATTCGGTTGAGTCTTGTGGGTCCAATTTTTTGGAGCCGCAGCTTGTTGGTAGAGGCAAGCTGTGTGATCCAACCTCCTGCAAAGCAGCCCAAAAGCTGGGGGTCGGGCGCAAGGGGCTGTACCTCAAACCCTAAACTCTGAATCACCTGGGTCTAAGATGTAGTCCGACGGTAGTCCGACTGTAGTCCGACAGGTAGCTCCAGTTTATTGCCTTGAAATAGCAAAGACAGCTATCACTAGATTCTTGATGCGAGGTGTACAGGGCCTTCGATCGGCAGCGTCTGAGGCTAACGTTCACGCCCAGAAGCAGCGACTACCTGCTCCACCACACCACTCTATTTAGGCCCAGCAAGCCCTTAGGGCCCTGAAGACCCGAGCCTCAACTCCAAGCCCTCAACCCTCAACCCCGGACTCCAGAACAGCCCTTGCTTGCATTTCTCTTTTGGTGATGGAGCAGTCGCAGACTGCAAAGCACCGAGCCGTTGAACAGGACGTGCGAGCAAGTGCTTGGAACGATGTACTACGAGTGCTCAAAGAGTACTGAGCGCTTGTGAGGATCTGCAGACCAGACTCGGAAAATCGTAAAGCCTGTACGTTCCCATCAAGTCTGTTTGAGCAAGTTCGCCATTTCATGGTGCTCGGTTTCATGATGTGTCATTGGCTGTGGTGCATGATGGCAACCTCGACCCTCTTCACACATCGTACTTCAGTTCTGGGTTCTGGTTCTATGAACCTCGAACAATATCTGCAGGGAGAAGAAGCTGATGCGGTTTATGGTCCAGTTTGACGACAAGGTCATGATTAACCTGACTTACATTCTTCCTGCTTGCAACTTCGTTCTTGTACCTCCTGCAGTTCTTGTGGAGCACACTGGCAGTGGCGTGTGAGTGTCCTGAGCAACAATGCTCCCCCATGCTTGTCTGCAACCTGATGCTAGGTTCAGATCCTTGACCTCAAGTCAGGGCAGACCATCATCAAGGACCGTGCAGTGTGAAGCAAATGGGATCAATGAAATTCAGAAGGATCCACAAACATCGGTGATCAACAAGAAGAATGCTTTGGGGGTTGGCGGGGGCTTGTGGGCTTCATACTGCGCATGACAGGTATTGCAGGGTTTGGGGGCCCCGCATTTCGAGGAAGAGAGCAAATTACGAGGCAAGGAAGCAAGGAAGCAAGGAAGCACGGAGCACGGAAGCAAGGAAGCAAGGAAGCCAGGAAGCCAGGAAGCCAGGAAGCGAGGAAGCAAGGAAAAAGAACAAGAAACGAGTGAAGAACTGAAGCCAGGGACGAACGAACGAATGAACAAGTCACCACCATCGGCATCATCGTCGTCATCATCATTATCATCATGACATCATCATAACCATCATCATCATCCTCATAACCATCATCGTCATCATCATCATCATCACCATCATCAGCAGGAGCAGCAGCAGCATCCTTATCATCGCTGAGTCATCATTGCTGCCATCATCACTCTTACGGTTGTTCTTGCAATTACCAATCTTGCTATTCGAACCATCCGTAGCGCAATTGACTGCAGCCATTGCTGAACTTCTATCCCGAAACTGAAATCCTGCTGCCTTTGCCCGCGACAACTAAGCCCAAACCTTGAACACCAGAAGAGCTTGTGTGACCGTGAACCCAAGCCCTAAACCCTTGACTCTTACTGCGAAGCTGAGCCTGAAAAACTACCCTTAAGCTTTGTTTTGTTTGTTGTTGCAATTTCTTCTGGCTGCCATACTTAAGTAGTTCAGTCTATCTAAGCGTTGGAATGCAAGATCGTTGTTCATGCTGTATTGATTTATTATTGTAGCTGCTGCTCTTGTTCTTGTTCTTGTTCCTGTGCTTGTGCTTGTGCTCTTGTGCTTGTGCTTGTGCTTGAAATTGTTCCTGTTCTTGTTCTTTTCGGGTTAAAGCTGATGCAGCGTTTGTGTTAGTGTAGTACTCTTACCCAAGAGCTTGATACTTTGCATCTCTAGTCGTGTTACTACAAAAGTGTATTTGTTGTTGGTAACGTTTATGTTGCAGCCTAGGCCATATGTGATACGCGGATGTGCAAGCAGCCTGAAAAAGGCGATGCCTTCCGACAGGATCGTAACCTCTTCATCAAGCGGTACACGTGCGTCTTTCGGGAGCCCCTAGCTTTGTTTCTCGCAAACGTGGCAACTCTCGTCGGTGATCGAAAGTCAGACTGGAGAGTGCCTGTGGCCCGCTGAACTTGAGGTCTGGTGCCAAGCTTCAAGGGCACGAGCCTAAAGCTGGCGTGCACAGACGCACGCAAAAAGCAACGCAGCGTGCAGTGGAAGGACGTACCTCTCGTTTCTTATAAGAAAGAGAGAGAGGCCCTTCTTCTCCCAGCCTTTTAAGGTCATGCTTGAAGCGGTTCTACTTTGATTCCGCAGGCCCAGACTCCGAGACTCCCCGCAAATTTTTGCGGGGCAATTCATTTGACTCATTTGCATGTGGCCATATATGCAAAAAACGCCGCAGTTCCTGGCCGTGCCCAGGTCCAACATATTGCATTGACTATGAGATGCACGAGAGCTTGGTGACTGCCATGCCTGGCACACCTCCAGTCTGCGACTCAGTCGCATGTGCCACGTTGTGGCACCTTGTCCAGGCTTGTCCAAGCCTGTCCTCCATCTCGGCCGATCTTCACCGGATCAGCAGTTTTTGCAGAGCAACTGCAAGATGCCTCCTTTCGTGCTTCATGATTCATGATGCAAGCATGTTCTGCATCGTTCTGCGGCTTCTTGCAGTACTGGTCAAGAAAGCCCCCGTTGCAGAAAATATGCATCCGTCTCAAGTCAAACTCCGACATGAGTTGTTGCTGCACTGCACATGTTGTCGATCTGATCTGATGTATCCAAGCCTTCTATCCTCAGGATGGGAAGCTGGGCGTGCGTGAGCCGCGAACCGAATACCTGATTGCAGAGACCTCAGTGCGACTCGCTACAAGAGAACCTTGAGACTCAACGGATCAGAGTTAGGAACCGCAGCCGCAAAGCAGTCATAGTCACGTCAACATGCAGCTTGCTGAAATGCATGCTGCCGAAATTGTTCTTGCAACCTCCGTGCAAGGTCCTCTACGAGGAGAAGGGTGGGAAGCTAACACGCATGTGGTTGAGGCGGCCGAGAATCCATTTGACGGTATGTTGGCCCAGAAATGTCGCCCAAGTCTGTGTCAAAAGGCAATCATTTGTAGATCCTTTTGGGCAGGCCTGATAGCGAGAAGCTGGGCAGTGACCCATACGCTGGAGAGGAGAGACAATCCCACATGGAGCTTGCTTTTTCGTAGTGCTTCCATACCTGGTTGTGCCACTTGACCACAAAGATATGATCGACCAAAGGGTATAACATGGCAACATGTGCTGCGCGCTTGATGCTGCCCTTTGCACGTCAGCGTTTAAATGCGTTTAACATGGCATGCCTTTCCTGCTTAGCTGCTCAGCGTCCATGGATGTGTGCTCACAGCGTGTAGCCTTGTGAAGGATATCCTTGCCGCGAGTGAGGCGTACAAACAGTTTGAGGCTGGCAGAAATATGCCACGACGAGACTATGGTATCGGCTCCAGTGCCTCAACAATGCTGGATTCCATTATGTGCGCCTGTGCAGGCAAAACTGAAGGAAGTCACAGGCGGCAGATTGGGAGAGTGTGGCTGGCATGTCTTAGCGCGGCAGTTCTACAGATTCTACATCTCTGCCGGTGAGAGCTGAGAAACAGCAGATGTTTCATGCTTTCAGGCGCATCTTCCACAACTACCATGACATCCCGAGCGTTGGCTGAGGTTATTCTCTGTGGAGGGTCCAACGCATGCAGGGACCTGGAGCAACCGCAACTGCATGAAAAAAATCCTGACACCTGTTTGAAAGATGTCTGGCTGGACTGACGCCTGCATCGCGCGAATTCGGTGCTCAGTTCTCCGACGGGGATGGGGATTCGACATGTGCAACTACAGGCGGACACCCAGACTCCGCAGCAGTAGCACTCCATATGATGCATTTTTCGCTTAAACTCTTCACAGTATTCACCTGACTCGGTGACCTGGCCTGTACAGTCCTGCATATACATCCATTCATGACGGTAAGCTTGTTGGAAACAAAGAGCGACGAAGCAGCTCCCTGGAGCCAGAGACACACTCCAGCCGTGGCCTCAACAGCGTAGTGGCAGATCTTTCAGTCCTGGGCAATATTAACGAGACAGTTTTTTCTTCAAGATGGCAGTTGCAGAACGTTGCAGAGCCTGGACTGGTCGAAGAGAGTGTGGTTTCTATTTTGTGAAAATTGCGCTGACTGGTTGGGGGCCGGGCGTCGGGCAAGGGGATGGAGGAGCATTGCCGGGAGAATTCGGACTTTTGTCCTGGTTTCCGACTTTCGATGGAAAGACCCCCATGTTTTGAAAGCGCTTCGTGGGATGGGAGAGGCAATCGATAGATAGCACGTGTCAACACCTTGATCCTCGAGGCAGAGATGGCTACTCTGAGTGAGATAAGCGGGAGGATTTGAGGGATGCAAGACGCTGCTCAGACCATGCGAAGAGACCATGCGAAGAGACCATGCGAGGCCATGGCGTCATGGATGTTTTGCACCTTCTTGAGCCAAATGAAGCCCGCGTACGAGGCTCCGGGATGCCTTTTGGAAAGTATTAAGAGGATTCAGCACATGCATTTGGAGAAGAGAGAGTCGACGAGAGTTCTGCTTGCTGCGATGCTTTTGAAGTCGAGAATGAGGTGCTTAGGACATCTTAGGTCTTAGGACAATGTCGGACAGCATGAACATGTGTGCCTCGTCGTTTCCTTGGCAGAGCCGCGTGGACACGGCGTTCGAAGGCGACAGCGCCATGTTTTCTGGGATGCAGATCTTGCATGATCTTGCAGCACTGCGCGTTGGCCGCATTGGCTATGTACCACGTTCAGTGACATGCTTCTGCCAGGCCCGAAGCTGAAGCAAGTTTGGTTGGACATGGAGCACAAGTGCTGGGAGACGTTCGCTGCCCAGACCCGGCACCAAAATATCGGCTTGGCGCCGGCGTCTAGCTCAGAGGTACATTTGCAAGCTGTCTGTTTCCTAATGGCCTAATGGCAAAACTAACCCCGATCTGCCCTGAAGAACGAGTGAACTTACAAAACCGGCACCAAACCTGAGACTCCAACAGAGGCTGAGCCCTGGCAATAATTCCGACAACGCAAGCCCAAGAGCTGGTTGCCACTAAAATTGCCGAAACCTGCCACCCAAAGTGTCAACAAAGCCTGTGGCTGTACCGTGGCAGCACAAGGCCACATGCGACACAGTCGTGTGATACACAGTGCTGGTTATTGTTTCCAGGGGCGTTTTTTCCGGGGGTAAACTTGTGAAGGTTGGCCAGCATCGTGTGTCTTGTGATTTCACTGCGTTTGGCACGACACTTCCTTCATTCTACAAATGCCATGATGCAACCGATTTCATTGCCTCGCTTCCTGGCGAGAGGGAGTTGCTGCTTTCCTCATGTTGTCAGTGGCCACTTGAGGTACCTGGATGAGGCCGATGATGACTTCAAAGGAGTGCGACACTTACTCATACAGCGATCTTGCGCAGAGCATCATGCTGATCGGCACAGGTCCATCCATACTTGAAGTTGAAGAAGGAGGCCTCCCCATGAAAATTCAGCCGTTTGTGCGGCGCAGAATGCGCTAACTATTCATGCGTTTTTTTCCAATATTTAACGCACAGGTTGGGCGAGTCATGGCAAACAATCTAGCATCTATCCACATGGCACCAAGGAAGCACGCTGTCTAAGCTGGTTGCAGGTCAGCCAGTGCAAGGCGATCATCAAGGAGGATACTCGACGAGAAGCACGAAGCCCATACTGAGTCTGTCGTATCGTGCGAATCTGTATGCTTCCGTCGTACATTCTGCCAATGATCACTTCAAGTTGTTTGTTGTCGATTTATTGCTACTGTACGGTCTTGCTCAGAATTTGGTCCATGCGAGTCACTTGCCTCGCGTGCATTACCAAGCATTGATGGCAAAACCAGTAGCCTGAGGTTCTGCAGGAGTGCACACAGAAGATCGTCGAATTGGCACAAGAATGCAGCGCCGGAAAGCGAGTGTCTCAGCAGCTGTACCTTTGCAGGTTTTGTTCTAGCCTCGTTATGGAATGTCGTCATCTCACCTTCTCGAGCTGGTGCCAGACGTGCAGTTACAGTTAAATCAGTCAAGCAGCATGGCCTTGAACATCGAAAGAATAGACACAATTCATTTTTTCGAGACAACATCCCCACCCTGCAGGTGAGGAATGTGCGGGGCAGACTCTGGGGTTGGACACTCCAGGGATTCTGTGGGGATACTCTGGGGTGGGATACGGGTGATGGGCGAAGAGTAGACCGGGTGAGGAGAAGATTTGTTAACAACCTAAATACCCTTCCGTTCCATGTTGATAATTCTTTGTAGACAGGAAGCCGAACGTAATTTATTGCATTGGAAGCCATCAACCTGAAATTCCTAAATCCTGGCCCCCATGACACCAACATTTCCTGTTTTTTTTCTCCGTAGTTTTGTCTGACTCGTCCCATTCCGGTTTTCCGACGCAATCTTTCTCGACTCCTGACTCGAGTCGTCAACCTCTGAGATTTTCAACAGACCTTTCGATCCTTCGACTGTTCTTTGCCCTGCTCCCCTGTACAGTCGGTCCTACTGTAGATTCTGTCGGAGCCTGCATGCTCTGACACTGGGAGACAGGAGGAAGAAAGTGGCTCTAAGTCGCCAACTCAGCGTGTCTTCTCGCGGCATCAGGGATTCGTTCATCCTCAGCTTTGCTGTCCCAGCTCCTTGCGCAAGACATCCAGGTCTTTCCAGAGAGTGAGGCAACGACTCCGGAGCCTGGGTGCTTGGTTTCTCTGAGAGCCTGCGATTCGATATCTTGCGAGATTAACCATGCAGGCATTCCAGCATGGCCTATAAGGCATTTATGTATACTCGCATGCCTTGAACGTTGAAGATTAGGTGTGCTTGACGTAGTACAATACACACTCTAGAAGATGCTAGAATCTTTGTGCAGCTCCATAAAACTCTTAGTGCCCGGCTTCTGGAGGTGACCTTCGTTTCACACGCGAGCGTGCGTAGAGGCTGCGCACAAATCAGAAAGTGCTGCAGTGGAACATATTTTCTCGATGTATGGTTAGACAGTTAGGCACGCATGTGCAACATGTTGCAACGTCGATGCACTCGTTGATCTAGTCACTGAGCAGCTCAATATTGTAGAGGGCGACGCTGAAGATGGCCATGACGATGCATGCTTGCCACGGAGCATTGGCAGCCATGCAAGCTGACATACATAAGCCAGACTTCAGAGTTTCGACTTGTGAATTTGACCTCTGCCTGATTTTGTGCAGATGTCGATGGCTGTTTCTCAGCCGGATGCATGCCCCGGGTGCTGCACAGGGTACCAACGGTACCATCCTCAGCACGTCATCAGAGGCAAGTCGATGAAGAAGTGCAAGCCAGTCCAACATTGCCTTCCTTGGCAGCTGCGGTGGATTGAATTAAAGCCAAGCAGCTAAGCAGCTAAGGTCCAGAACCACGACCGTTGTTGGCTTGGCACTTACGATGTAGTTGTCCTGCAGCAGGATTAGCAGGATTAGCACAACAATGTGCAATGTGCTGAGCGTGTTGGATCATCCCTGCCGTAGTTTTGAGAGTTTTGAGCAAACAAATCAGTGCCTGGTGACAAAGCTTAGAACCAACCCTCAACTTGGCCAGCATGTCGATCGGATACATGGATGATGGGTCTACACTATGTGCAGCAATGGGCTACCACTCAGGAGCAGCACGAGCAGTTAGGAGAATCAGAAGCACTCGCATCACTCGCGAATGGCTTGATTGGGCTCAGGTCACCATTGTCAGCTTGGATTTCTACCTGACCAAGCCCGCACTCAGCTCTCGTGACTGTACCACTGTACTTTCCGTGTCTTCTTGTGTTGTTATACTATTGCTTGTGACTTACTGACAGGCCGGGGCTAGGCGATCAAGCCCGATCACAATGCACAGGCGGGCACCTAAGTCGACTCCAGCTGCAGGGCTTGTTGGATAGAAGCCAGCTAGAGTGCGGAGCGTGGGCAGCGGAGTGGTTGGCAGGCAAAGCCTTCAAAGAAGTGCCGGCAGCAGCCTGAGCCGTCACCAGGATGTTAGGACTCTGCCGCCACGTTTCGCTGCCAACGTAGAAATCGGTACAGTAAGGTCATCCGTGTGTTCGGCTACACCGATACCGGCCAGACTGCTTGCGACTTGTCCTGTCCCAGCGTGGATGTGTTGCGGAAGAAACCGAGGTGGCACATTGTGTTGGCAACATTAGTCAGCTTCAAACTAAACCTTGCATTTCGCAGCCCAGGCACTCATGTCCACGGAATTTTCCCCTTCTTCTACGTTCAGGTGCAGCCGACAAGTTTCACTTGACGTGGCAGTGACATGCAATGAATTACGCACAAGACTTATCAGGAGTCTTGCCTTGCAGGTGAGCCTTTCTCAGATAGAGGAGATTGGTCAGGAAAACGGGAAAGAGGCAACGCGCATCAACGCGCCACCATGGTAGACCTTAGAGGAAACGGCTCTGTCACGGAATCAGCGTGTAACTGGGAGAAGTGAAGTGACCATGCCTCAAATGCAGCTGTGTCGAGGGTTTCCTGCAAGCCTTCGCCGATGGTCTGGAACACGCACCTCCTCCGACAGATAGACAGTTGGCGAGCGAGCTTTCAAGATAAAGGACAGAAACATCTAACCAGACACCTTCACGACTGGTGCTAGGCGTTCAGCATCTTTCACCTGCACCAACTTTGGTCGGACGAACAGCCAAGGCAGTGTGTCTTCACCAAGCCAGCTTGGTCACACAGCCCGCAGCCCAACACCAGCCAATTTCGACGAGCCATTGCAAGCTGAACATGGATCGCCTTGCCTCAGACGCGCGAATTCGCCGGCTTTAGTCGGAGAGAGGGCGCAGCAGTCTCAGCCGATACACGGAGATTTCCTGATCTGTGCAACCTCATCGGTTCGAATAGGTCATTCCCAGAAGCTCATGCTCCCCATTCATAGCATTTCCTTGTATTTCACTGCATGTTCCGGGGCGTTCGTTGGGTAGAATCGGCATTGGGCTCTCGTTGGACTCCTGGGTCTTGGCCTTGAAAGATCCAGAATTTACGCTGCCCCCATAAAAAAGAGGCCAAACCAGGAAAACGGATCAAGGCTTGCGATGGGCAAAGTACTTCATCAGTTGTTGTGAGATGATGCTTGGACATTGGACTCAATGTAGATGTAGACAATGTAGACTCCGCCTGCACGCTTGGCACATGTTGCAGCTCAGGTATTTGCATGATCTTCGGTGGGTGACCGGCTGGCAGTCTGTGTATGGTTACGGCAACAGGGCTGAGAACACGGAGGAACACTTCATCCAAATCTGGGTCGCGCAGCCTCAGTACACGGGGCTCATGGCCCATCTGCTGCAGCAAGGTGCTGTACTGTCCATGTCATTTCAGCCTTTCGAGGTGCACTTACCATACCTTTTGCACTTCTTGGACTCATTTGGGCTTGGTGGTATGAGGGAGTTAGTTGTGGACCCCGCGCGAGTCGCTTTGCGTGGTGAACTCCCCGAGCAAGCTTTGTCGACTTTTCCTTGGCATCCACTTTGGGCTTCCAAATTGGGCTCCTCTGCCCGAGAACGACTGCTCTGCTGCAGAGGGCAGAAGCCCTGGTGGTGTGACAAAGCTGCCTCCGAAACCAGGCTGGCATGGCTTACACTTGCTTACGGTTTCATTGATCTTCAAGTGTTTTTTTTGTCTTCCTGCCTCGTATATTCAGTTAATATTAAGTATATTAAGTGGGTCATTGAGCTGCCGCTTTTGTGGCAGACATGCCATCGGCTGTGCCAGGCCCAAATCCGTGCATCCGCGCACCACGACCTGTGAGGTGTCCCGCAGAGCCTTACTGCTGTTTCACAGCGAAAACTACACTGTTAAGCTGCTACAATTCGAGGACCCGCGTTGAATTCCTTATCATGGGGTACTACGGGGTGGGCGGCGCCGGGTGGAAATCAAAGAAGCAGCCTGCCACCCGAAGTTCCTGAAGTCTTAGAATTGTACACCGAGACCCAAAGCTTGTCCCGGAAGCTCAGTATCAAGCATGAAGTCATCCGTGGATATTTTTCTGGCAACAAAGTAACACAGAGACCTCACAAGGTCACGGAAAAGATGAGCCATAAGGGCAAGCAATTGCACTACGACGACTAGACGTGGCTGGTTTTCACGTGGTGACACCCAGGGCCTTCTTTGGCTTGTTTGGTGGGGGCAGCAGAGAACATCTGGAGTTCAGGTGAATCAACTCAACAATGTCCTAGAACGCCGATAGTTCTCCACGAAGGGGTTGAGTACCACCCACCTCCCCCCGCCCCCCCCCCCCCCTCCGCGCCCACCGCCCCCCCCCCACACCACCCCCCCCCCTCCACCCCACCCACCCCCCCCCCCCACCCACTACGCCCGCCTTCACGACTTAAGTAAACGTACTTAAAATGCAAGGACCAAGAGGCAAAATTATCATTTAAGCTTCATTGACAGCGATAACAACAGTTTTGTCACTTCGAAAATCCTCACCCTCCCTGGCCTGCTTAGTATGGCTTAGTGTGGTGACCTTTCGGTACAGCTGCCCGCCTGAGCCTCCCTGTCCTAACTGGTTGTCCTGCCTCACAGCTGTCCTACCTGCTGTCCTTGTACTGTCCTGACAGTGTCACGTCACATGATGCGTGCTACTTTGCGCTTATCATCTAGCTACCCCACTTGTCGGGTGGGGAAAAGCAACTAAAAAGATACAATTTTGGCTGCTTGGCAATGGATTTTTTAAAGTGATTTTCCATTAAAAATATGGAAGAAGTGATTTCGTTATTTGATCGCTTTTTCGAGAATGTTAATTGAAAATTGTTAGCAAGAATCAATTGCAGAGCAACCAAAATTGTATTTATTGCTTTTGCTTTTTTAATGCAGTTTAATTAATTCTTGCCCATTTTCAGTGAATGTTGAGTACTTTAAATTCTTTAAATGATTTTTTTTAGTTCGTTTCAATTGAAATTACGGGGATGTGCGGGGGGGGGGGGGGGGGGTGGGTGGGATGCGGAGCAAAAGAAAGTTATTTAGGATCAAGAAAAATGTATTTAGGATCAAAAATAATTTATTTAGGATCAAGAAATAATTTATTCTGCTCTTCCGACGGAAAGGAGGAAGGGGAGGGAGGGAGGGTGAGAAGGAGGGAGGGAGGGAAGGAAGGACGGAAGGAAGGAAGGAAGGAAGGAAGCAAGGAAGCAAGGAAGCAAGGAAGCCAGGAAGCAAGGAAGCAAAGAAGGAAGCAAGGAAGCAAGGAAGCAAGGAAGCAAAGAAGGAAGGAAGGAAGGAAGGAAGGAAGGAAGGAAGCAAGGAAGCAAGGAAGCAAAGAAGGAAGGAAGGAAGGAAGGAAGGAAGAAGCCAAGAAAGAAAGACAGAAAGTAAAAATAAATAAATAGCAAAAGAAAGACAGCAAGGAAGAAGTCGTGCCAGCTTGCTTCAAAGCATACGCATCTTTTCGAAACCCATTATGCGAGCATTATGTTTGCAAATGGGCGGGGGGCCCCCACAATCCACCGCTTTTTTCAAGTCGTGCCAGCTTGCTTCCAAGCATACGCGTCTTTTCGACGCCTCTGATGCGAGCGTTGTGTTTGCAAATTGGGGGGGAGGGGGGGGGGGGGTGGCACCCCCCCCAACCCCCGCTTAGAGAAAGTCGAGGGGGGGAGGGGGGGGGGAAGGGGGGGGGGGGGGGAGAGGGGGGGGGGGGGGGAGGGAGGGGCGGGGGGGGAGGGGCGGCAAGGGGGGAGGGGGGGGGGGGGGGGGAGGGGCGGCAAGGGAGGGGGGGGAGGGGGGGGAGGGGGGGGGGGGGCAGGGGGGAGGGGATCCCCCAAACGCTCTTTCTTTAATCGTTCTGGCTTGCTTCAGAGTATACGAGAAACTTCTAATGCCAAGATGCCAGCATTGATTTGCAGCCTTTGGAAGCTCAGAAATGCTGCTATTTACAGTATTTCCAGCCTCTGAAAGCGCAGAAATGCTGGTATTTACAGGAGCTGCAGCCTTTGGAAACTCAGAAATGCTGCGGGGTACAGTATTTCCAGCCTCTGAAAGCACAGAACCTGCAGCCTCTCTGGAAACTCAGAAATGCTGCTGTTTTCAGCAGTTCCCGCATAGCTGCTGTGCTTTTTCGGTATTAAGAGCTTGCGAACGGCCAGAAATGCTGCATTTCTGAGCGTTTACAGCCTCCGCTCCGCTTGCAACAGGCCTTCGAAGCCTTCAGTAAATTATTTTTTGATCCCAAATAAGTATTTTTTTGATCCGCCTATAAATAAATTGTTCTGATCCCAAAAAAATTTTTGATCCCCTACCCGGGGTGGGTGGGTGCACAACAAAAAGCGCGAACTTGCGAACTCTGATTGCAGACCTCTTGCCTCGGGGCTGCACGCAGTGACGCAGTGCTGCCCGTCATTCTTGGTCAGGTAGAAGTGGATTGCAGTGCAACAGCCGGGGCCCTTTCAGATGCACAACTGGCGAGACCTGACGCTTTCCCTTGCCGGCCATTCTCTTGTACAAGGCTGTGCTTGTTGAGGACATTCTGCCACCTCTGTCATCTACGGCCAGTGAAATTCCAACCTCCGAAGCCCAAGAAGCTACAGTTCACGATTGCACGCGCGGCTGGATTTGTGTGGCTTGGCTATCAACTTGTTCAACAATTGGTGGCCCTTTCAGTCTTGCACGTTTTGCATGCGTTTTGAGCATGTGCCCCGCAGGACACGCTGCGGGAGCTGTGGCGAGACGAGGAACAGCGCTGCACAGGCGTGATGTTTCAGCATGTCTCAAGAAAGTGCTGCTTGCAAGATGCGGAAAGAGAACTGCAAATCCTGCCAGTTAAATACCATTTTTCATCGCCACCAGCTGCACGTGTTTTACTTGAAGTATGCCAGTCATGGCACAAGCTGTTCCGTGGGACCGAGTGCCGCTCCAGCCTGGTGCAGTCGCCTCAGTCGCCTCAGTCGCCCCAGCGAGTTGTGTCATGTTTCGTGTACATGTAGTGTTTTCCGTCGTTTCTGGTGTTGGTTTGCTGCTGCTACAGGGGGCATATACTATACCGTACCAAGTTCTCAAAGACAGACGTGCTTTTCACATTTGAAGGAATGTCGCAGTCTTGAGGACGGTACCACATGTAGCTGCCATGCCGCTTTTTACATCAAGAGTGGTGGTGTGAATGGGTTGGCGGAGATGCGAAAGGCGGCATGCGCTGCTCAGAGATTGTGGGACTGTTCGAGTGTGTGAGTTGAGGTGCAAACATCCCACATTCCTTTGTCCTTGCACTCGGGAGCCCTCAAGTAATTCAGACGTTTCAGGCAAGGTGTAATGTAAGGCAATGCAATGTACGGGCGCGTTTCAGCACCTGATTCCCCTTGCCACCATCTCGGCTCCCCTTTCCAGTCATGAGTCCGAAGGATACCGCTCAAGGATGCCGCTCCAGATACGCACAGACGGACTTGCGAGAGCACAGTTTGGTCCATGTCCACCTTAAAATCTCCTTGTTTACAATGACCCAAGATTTGTTTTTGGCTTTTATTGTTTTCGTAGTCTCGCCAGTGCTGTCAATTCAAGCACTGCTGTAAATCATGCAGTCATGCAGTACCTGGCAAGATATGATCGCAAGTGAACGAGTTCTAAACACATCAAATGCTTTGTGAGACAATGTCAAGCCATTCTTTTTTGCCACGAATTCCATCTTGCCCAACGAACGAGGTGCCTGGGCACGGCGCGGCAGGTGGCACATAGTGATGACATAACGCAGTATGCAAAACATTCACTCGTTTTTCATGCATGTTTTGTCCGCATCAGCCCTCACCCCGGATGTGATGGACGAGTGCATGCTACAGCGGCTGAAGAGTTTGCTAGAAGGCCACCAAGGGAATTAGGCCCAGCGATGCGCGACAAGCTGGGAAGCAGGTTGTGATCCTGATCTGCGCTGCGTTTATACTACTTATGAACCCGTTGGAGCCGGACATTGCAGGTCAAAATGCACCAGCTCAAGCATTCGGGGAATCTGCGTCACCCTCCCGGGGAACTCAGGCCGTGGGTTGTTGTGGTTTAGTCTGCCAGTCCAATATGAAAAATCCCGTGCGGTATCATCGGCAGTTGTGTCGGCAGCCCTCATGCTGTTCGGTCCCGTAGGCAATGGGTGTATGGAGCCAGCAGGATGTGGTGCAGGACCTCTGACGCATTACGCAGTGCTTGTGCATGAGCCTCACTGCTTTCTTTCATATTTCTCGGTGCTATTGCAGGTCGACACGAAGAGCAAGGCAACCTGAAGCTGGCAATCTGAAAGCTGTTTGGTTTCAAGAGCCGCTGACCTCTAGTAGCAGTTGTGGGTGTTGTTGCTGTCATACGTTGTTATGGGCTGCTGGATTCTGTACTTGTGGAATAGTGTGGTCCTGGCAGGTGTCGCCTAAGTTTGTGAAGGCACTTGAGACCTTGGAGGTGAGCCTGGGCATTTGGCTGTTTTTTGGTTCGTTATGGCATGTTTTCAACTGGCCCACGCGCTGTGTCAGCGTTCCCTGCAGAGGCAGCTATGTCGCAACAGATGCGGCCTACTCAGTGAGACCCGGTCTCGTACCGTTGTGTGGCGACTTGTTGGCCCTGCGTCTCCACCAAGGACCCCACCAGATGAAGCCACAGCCACCTTGCTCCATCGAGGCCTTGACACATTCGGCCCCTTCATAATCGCACAAGGTCAGGCTGGGCAGGCCAGGCCCAATAGCTTGTATGCCCGGCCTGGCAACAGCTGCGGGAACGCACCTAATATCACGCCCATCATTCTTTCTGTTCAACTTTCGGCCACTTCGATTGCGCATCCAGGCGCTCTAGCGGTGGAGTTGATGACTTGAAGTGTGCTTGTTGCTGTGGTGTGTCGCGCCGTATCACTTGATGGGCTGATTGTGACGTAATTCGGTTGGAGTTGTGTTTGTGCAGAATTGGTCGCTTTGCCAGCTGCCTGTTTTGACCGTCAAAGCCTGCACATCGCTCGAAAAGAGACCAGCAGTCAGTACATTCTTCGCTGAGAACGGCTGAAGCCAAGCAAGGACATCCCTCCCTATCACACAATTTCAATGTCAAGAAGTGTGCACTGCGCCAGGCTACCAGCAGAGTGAGCCCCAGGACGATCAGTGTAAGCGAACTCACGGACTGCTGTAGCAGCTTTATCGAGCAGAATCTAGCATTGATTCCAGGAGGACACAGCCACAGAGCCGGACACTGACTGCGGCGCAACGGAGCTAGACGAGCTGGAGAACGAAGCTGCGTCAGGGTCTCCAACGTTGCGGGCAGTAGTGTGAAGAGGCATGAAGTGATGTGATGCGCGTGAAGTATCGTGAAGTGATGTAAAGTGCTTTGGCTTAAGGTCGGAAGAAGCAGAGACTGCAGAGTGTGCCCCAACTCAACTGGATGCGGCACCGACGCAGGCTCAAGTTGGCCAGCATCGAGCATTGCCTTCATTACTCATTACCACATGCCTTTCAATTTGTCGACAATCCCGAATGCATGATGGTGATCAGGCCGATTTTCCAGACTGCGTGCAAGGTGGTGTGCAAGATCAGCGAGCTACTTGGAATGCTGGCAATGGACAACAGGATGACACATGCCCTCAGCTCCGTGGTCAGCTCTTTCCTCACGGCAGGGACCGTTGCGACGTGAGTTAGGAGCAGCAGCAACAGCAGCAGGAGGAGGAGGAGGAGGACGAGGAGGAGGAGGAGGAGGAGGAGGAGGCGGAGGAGGAGGAGGAGGAGGAGTAGTAGTAGCAATAGTAGCAGTAGTAGCAGTAGTAGCAGCAGCAGTTAGTAGTAGTAGTAGTAGTAGTAGTAGTAGTAGTAGTAGTAGTAGTAGTAGTAGTAGTAGTAGTAGTAGTAGTAGTAGTAGTAGGAGTAGCAGCAGCAGCAGCAGCAGCAGTAGCAGTAGCAGTAGCAGAAGCAGTAGCAATAGTAGTAGTAGTAGTAGTAGTAGTAGTAGTAGTAGTAGTAGTAGTAGTAGTAGTAGTAGTAGTAGTAGTAGTAGTAGTAGTAGTAGTAGTAGTAGTAGTAGTAGTAGTAGTTGTTGTCGTAGTAGTAGTAGTAGTAGTAGTAGTAGTAGTAGTAGTAGTAGTAGTAGTAGTAGTAGTAGTAGTAGTGGTAGTAGTGGTAGTAGTGGTAGTAGGTAGTGGTAGTAGTGGTAGTAGTGGTAGTAGTGGTAGTAGTGGTAGTAGTGGTAGTGGTAGTAGTAGGTAGTCGTGGTAGTAGTGGTAGTAGTGGTAGTAGTGGTAGTAGTGGTAGTAGTGGTAGTAGTGGTAGTAGTGGTAGTAGTGGTAGTAGTGGTAGTAGTGGTAGTAGTGGTAGTAGTAGTGGTAGTGGTGGTGGTGGTGGTAGTAGTAGTAGCAGCAATAGTAGTCGTCGTAGTAAGTCGAAGTCGTGTAGTCGTAGTAGCATCTGACAGTTGCAAAGCCTTTCCCTTCAAAACGGATGCCCACTTAAACCTGAGTTCCTACGTCCACGCACGTTTCACGCACATTCCTCTTTGAGAAGGGGCTTTGGTGTCGTGAGTTGTCGCCACTTCCGGTCTCCTTTCAGGGTTCAGGGCTTGCCGGTTGACATGTTGGTTTGAGGTTTCCTCACCTTCAGAGGTTTTAAATGAAGCAACAGCGGATCGGGATCTGCCATCGTTTCCATTTGCAGAGTGCTCAAAAGAAACCAAAGCCGACACTGAAGTGGCAAATCTCAGAAGCCCTCCAAACTCAAATAAGGTTCCATAAATCGTGGAGTATCACGGCCAACCGGCTAACCTTCAACGTAATGAAGATCATTGAAAACGTATCAGACAACATCTGGAAGGACCACAGCCGTAGTCGGAGTGCGAGCGGGAGTGCGAGTGGGAGTGTAGCACAGGGGCGCTTGTCTACATTTGAGTGAAGATGCACATAGACTGATTGGTTGATTGATAGAGGGTTTTGGTCAAGGCCCACCCCACTTTCCATGTCGGACCGAAACGGCCGTTCTTCAGATGGAGAACAGATCCAGATCCAGGTTTTTCCACACCCAAATATTCCCACCTAAGCACACTCTCAACTAAGCGAGGGTTTTTTTCGGAGGGTCTTCTGGAAGAGCTTCTTTTTCCAGAACCAGGTTTTCAAGGTTGGGGCCTCCAGAACCAGGTTACCAACTACCTAGAATCAGGTAGGTTTAAGCTTCAAAAGGTAGGAGTTGGAGTTGAAGTAGTAGTCGTCGCTATTTGTCGTCGTAGTAGCAGTCGGAAAAGTAATCGTAGTGGGCGGGAAGCGATGTTGAGGATGGACTCTTCACGGATCTGGACAATGGCGAACTCTCGTAGCCGTTCGTTGGCACGTGGCCGTAAAGTGGGAAACAACATTCGGGCTTCAAGGTTCTTGGCTTGAACTGAGGGGTGTCAGCCACACGACCACTTCGTCCCCTTAAATACGTCCACAAGGCCGGACAAATTGGCTGAGAATGTCCCCTTGTCGCCTATGAGGCCAGCAGCGCTCTCAATCTCAATGCCGTGAATGACTATCCACCATATCTTGGCTTCGGAAGTTCTGGCTAGAATGCCACTGAGGCAGAGCTCTTTCCACTCATTGCAGAGGCAGCTTGCAGTTCTGAGCAGGGTTTGTCCCTCAGCAGACCAAGCTCTCATAGGGCTCCCAAGATCTGTCTCTTGAAAGATTTTGCAAGCATGTGGCTCAAGAGCATATGAACTTGCAAGGTCCGCTTCCTCCAGCAAAAGGATTCTATTCAGAGTGGCACGCTTAGCTGTCCCAGAGCGTGTAGCATGTGGCAATGGAAGTATTTGTGCTTGCACCTTTCCGCCTCAGTCGCCTCAGCTGCTCAGTCGACACAGGATTCTTCCTACTCGTCTGGCTGCCTGGCCAGGGCGATCAAAGTTAAACCCCGAACATCCCCAAACTGGGCATCTCCCAAGCCGGCCATTCCCTGGGTCAACCCTTCAGACAGAGACCGCAGCTTTCCAAAGCCTTGCATGCTAAATTGGACTCTCCCAACACCTTTTGGGGCATCACGAATATTGGAATGTACCTACATGTGCTTGTACCTCGTTGCAAGACTTTATAATGTGACAATGCAGCTGAGACACATAAAGGCCTGATGACTTGGACTTGGGCACCACGGCTACCGAGCAGGCCCCAGAGCATCCATGGCGTGGATCAGAGCCATTTGTGACCAGCCACACTTCGATGTGATTCGGAAGAGGCCGGGGTGTGGGAGTACTGGCAGCCGCCGCCCACCTACGAGGTATCAGCCGTTTCCCGCAGTTCATGTGATTGCTCGTGCGTTTGTTCTCTCAGGAATGCCAATGTAAACAAGGAACTGTCTGAGAGTCTGTGGATGTACAGTATCAGGTGATGATCTGGTAGTGGCTTCTCCAGATGTAGGAAGCCTTTAGCTGCAGACAAGATTTCTTAGACAGCTGACATCAGCAAGTCATCAGGCAGCATCGCGTATTGTCAGTCGCCGCAGGCCACGGCACGATCGAAAAGCAAGCGCCAGCCAGACGAGGAAGAAGGAGCCGCAACACCTTACGCATCCGTCTGTCAGCGCATCATATGTAATTAACATACATGATCGGTGCTGTTTATACTGTACCGTATAGTATATATACATACATATATATGTATATAGATTGAGTGAGAGGGACCACGGACGCACACAGGGGTTTGATTTTCAAGCGTCACAAGACTTGAAAATGAAGGATGTAGTTTTCGCTCAAAATAGATTTGTGTGATGTTTCACACTGACATTCTGAATTTTGTCCTCGAATCTGGGTGGGACTCGCCTGGCCGGCTGTCTCATGTTGCCTCTCGTGGTAGCCTTCGTGCGCTGGAGTTGGAGCAGCAACCTGCGAAGGAAACAAGGAGTTGTGCCCTCACTCCCTTTCAGGGTTCGCAGCTTGAAACACAACATCAAATATCACTCTCAACATAGCAGAAGACAGGTTAGAGCATCACAGTGAGTTTGCTAGACCACTAATTACAAATCTAACATCAATACACCAGATTCAATTAATTTTCGTTGGGCTCGTTTCGAATTCGAAGTCATGCACTTCGCCCTCACATCATCTCACATCCCAATGGTGATACTAAATCATCAGGAAACCCGTGAATATAATTTGGAAGCTATTAAAGGGCTTTGTGTCCTTGTTCATCAATGTGCTCGGCGGGCGACTCGGAATCAGAAAGCACTCGATAAATCAGTGTGGACAACGGCGACCGAACACGCCCATCTATGCTTTAACTTCGCGGTCCCCGCCTGAGACCCTATCAACGGCCCTTGTTGCCCCAGTTTTGTTTCACCATGCCAGGCCTGGCCCTGAGGGCGCCGTTCGTGAAATGAGGTACAACAGCCATTGCTCACACGGCGTTCAGCATGGTTTCATTTGAAAATGTTTCGCGAAGCCAGAGCCAGATTGCATACTGCGGTCATAACCGCAAGGCCTGCGGGCCTCTCGAGGTGACGCTAAATCCCGCGCCTTTCTAGGTAGCTTTGGGCGGGACGTAGCAGATTTGCTATGGAAGCGATACCTAATTCCAAAAGCCCCCGGAGATCATCGTTTTGCTTGAGAAAGTCACACCTAACCCCAAAAGCGATACCCTCGATGAAATGTTTCAGTCGTGGCCTCTAGGTTTTGCCGCATGCTCTCGGTACTCTCACCGGTTATCTTCGGTAAAAACAACCTGTCAGAGGAACGCTACGAACTTTAACATGCAGCGTTCGCAGGCTGCCCTGTGGCGATGCGGGAAAGCCGCACTTTGATTTCGATCAAAGGCAGCGGGAACAATCTTGCACTGAACCCCTCCAAGTCTCGTAAGAAGCAGAGTCAGCAGAGTTGTAAACCATTTAAACCATCTGTAAAGATAGCGCACTGAATGAAAGACTTGTCGTCAAGAGAAGCAAGTCAAGTGCACAAGTGAGCACGCAAGAGTCACCATGAAATTAAGAAGAGCTTGCAAGAAGAGACTGCAGAGGCGATTCTTTCGCCAAATCATGTCGCGGCCATTGGCTTGGTACGCCAATTGCCTACGTTCATCGCCCAAGATCCGACGAACACATCATCTGTCTTACCTTGTCGTCGTCATTTCAAAGAGAATATTGCTCACCAACTCAGTTCTGGTTCTGTTGCACCTGCACATGATATAGCAGCGCGGTCTCTGAGTTCCAAGATGCAGTACTTCTGGGAAGATGTCCGACCGCCCTTCGCATTGCTTCTCTGAACTGTCGTGGTCGTTCATCCATCTCCAAATGCGAAAGAGTGGTTCACCTGACGATAAAACACAACATTGGCCTATTGTGTGTTCGAGGGTTCACAGTGACTTCATCATGATTTGGTTTAGCGGTGTTAGTGAAGTGACGAAGATGGGAGCGCTCCGGCACAGGCTACACAAATTCTAAACACGACAGGTTTTTCTGTGGCAAACCTTGTGAAGTGAAACTCTGCCCCCCCACCCCCCACCCCCCCCCCCCCCGCAACCCCCCCCCCCCCCCCCGCCCCCCGACCCCCCCCCCCCCCCCACCCCCCCCCCCCGCCCCCCCACCCCCCCCCCCCCCCCCTGCCCCCCCCCCCGCCCCCCCCCCCCAGCCCCCCCCCCCCCGCCCCCCCCCCCCCCCCGCCCCCCCCCCCCCCTCCCGACCCCCGCCCCTATCCTCTTGTATCCCAAAAAGGGCACACCTCCTGGAGTTGGGGGGTAAGAGTTCTCTGCGAAGATTTATTTTGATTTCGGGCTGGGTTCGTACACGGGGGAAGAGAGAGACTTGTTTGTCTCTCTCTCTCTCTCACTCTACATGGTGCTCTCTTTGTTTCTCTGCCTTCGCTGCAGGAGATGATGTAATCACCAAGTTTGACAATGCAGGCCATCGGGGCAGGTGGAGTGGCTCCAAAATGGCTTAAAGGGATAAACAGTTTTGCTACGGAGTTGGGCTAAATTCATTCTATTTTATTCCAAGACACTTTGTTGCCCTATTTTTGTATTAGTTAACTCCAGTTGATTGATTGCGACTGGTGGTAGGACTCATTGGTCTTCACGACAAGCTCAGCATGCCTGGCGTTGCCTTGTCGTCACCTTTAATCCTGGAGCAACTTGAACAGAGGGCCCATGTTGTGAGATGTTTGAACCTTGTAAGCCTGCGCGACGCTGGAAAAAAGCTGTGCCCATGTCAGCAGTGCCATGCGGCAGGTCGGTTGACGACCCTTCGGCGCAAAGCGACAACAGGCAACCAAGGACAGGCGAATGACGCTCTTGTCACTTCCACTCGTGCGGTTGTTTTTGATTTAGTAAGTCAAGTGAATCCGTCTTCTGTTTTTTGCAGATCTTGGCAATGCCTTCCTCTTGCTTTCCGCTCGACTCGTTTCGTGCTGGACACCTCTTAGAATTTGGGAAGCCCGAAGACAACCCGAACGCACTCTGAGAGCTGATGCGGCTGCGAAGCTGAGACATGGAGCTACAGCGGTCTTGCAGAAACCACAGCAAGCGTAGCATGTCGGCAACATGTCGCACACGCAGCAGTGCGGCAGGAAAGCGCCTGGGGCGCAAAAGGCAGGCATCACTTTCGGAGGCCACATCGGACGACTGGACCTTTTTGCTTTTTGTCCACGTCGTTGCTAGCCTTTGGGAGGCAACAGCACCGACACCGGCTCCGCCAAAACCACTACGCCAGGCTGCAGATGCTCCGCCCCTCTTCGGCACCCTGCTGACTGTGGAGGCTGCTGCGCGATGCTGCACGAAGATTGGCACTAACATATTCCATTTATTTCGTCCATCTTCGTCTCGTCTTTACAACATCGTTTGTTCCACGTCAGGTCCTGGAGCTCCCTGCGCAGTCGCGACTTGACTGCTCGATGAAACAACGATCTTGGCATCTCCTGATAGCTTCTGCATGCTTCTGCCGTAGCTGCCTCAAACTGAACTGTCCGAAGTTTGGAATGTTCAAAGACATTCAGCATCAAAGAGTTTCAATCATGCTGGCACTTGGCATGGAGCTGACCATCACGCTTCTAGTTTAGCTTGGTGAGTGGCTGCTAAGCCAGGCATATCTTTTCCATCAACTGTTGGCGGCCTGAATGGAAACCAAGGCCACAGGGTCCTTCTCTCATTGGTGCGGTCGCATTCTGCTTACGTGACGCCGCTCAGCTGCAGATTCCAAGAGAGGAAGGTGGCAAAGGCACCAAAAAGAGTTGGAGGGCATTTTTGAAGTACCTTGTCAGCAGAGACGTGCTATCTGCCAGTCAGGAGCGGGTACGCTGCCTGCTGGCCGAAGAAGACCAGGACTATGAGGAGCTGTGAATGCAGCTGTGCTACAGTGCTACAGAATTTCAGTTTGACTCCTTGTTTAGTGTTTCATCCAGGTTTCCGCGATTGTTGCACCATGTTGCATGAAGATCTGGCATGTCATTCACAGTATGTTCGAGAAATTGCTAGAGGCTTAAGCGGTGAGTTGTGCGAAGTCGAGTGCCGCAGGATGGCCTTGGTTTGATCTGCATCGAAGGCACCCAGCCGCTGGAGGTTGATCCCAAGGTTCTGGTGAAGGACATCTTGCATGTGCACATATGTGCACATCATGGCATAGCCGCATAGCTCTCAAAAGACTGATGAGCATCAAGGAAAGATTTGATAACGTCAAAAAAATAAGTTGGTAAGCATAAAAAGCATGCTTTGCCAGGATGAGCTGGGTTCCTCCGGTCCCCTGGTGCTCTGGTCTGTTGGGTTCTTCCGGACCCCTGGTCCCCGCCGTTCTGCTCCTGGGTTCTTTTCATCCCATGGTCTTGAGGTCCCGTCGTCCTCTGGTCCCGTGGTCTCTGGTCCCTTGGTCGTCTGGGCGTTGCTATCCGGCTGTGAATATCATAGTATTCCTGTGTTACTAGTAATATGAGATCATGTGTTCGGCGTATACCCTATTTAATTTAATCTTCATTCCTAGTGAAGGAATTATTTTACTGCTAAGGTAATAGTAATAGTGGTCTCTGCAGAAGGCTGCGCCCCCAAACCCTGCTTGTATTGGGACCAAGTTCTAGGCCATGCAATGCTTGCTGCAAACTTCCAAGCCTCATCATGCGATCATGGTGTTTGCAAATGGGGGGCGGGGTTGTTTAGGACCTAGTTCTCAGGCGTGCAATGCTTGCTTCAAAAAGCATATGAATGCTTTCCAAGCCCCACCATGCGAGCAGGGTGTTTGCATTGGGGGCGGGGGGGGGGGGGGGGGGGGCGACGCACCCAACCCACCCCGCTGTTTTAGGAATGCCTGCTGCAAACAATAGCCCCACCGTGCGAGCATTGTGAGCATTGTGTTTTACAAAATGGTGGGGGGGGGGGGGGCTTGTTGTAGGACCTAGTTCTCAGCCATGCTTGCGTCATAAGCATATGAAGACTTTCCAAACCCCATCATGCGAGCATGGTGTTTGCAAATGGGGGGCCCCCAAACCCCTCCGACCTAGTTTTAGACGGTGCAATGTTTGTTACAAACCATCTGAATCTTTTCCAAGCCCCATCATGCGAGCATAGTGTTCGCCCAACCCCCCCCCCCCCCCCCCCCCCGCTTGTTTTGGACTTAGTTTTAAAAGTTTTATGCTGTGCAATTCTTGCGGCTGCGCCCGCCCGACCCCCAGCGAAGAGGGCTGCATCTAGATATGCTACAAACTGACGACATGTGGAGCCGCGGAACACTTCGAAATGCTATAATTAAGAGCATGTGGCCCCGTGGAGAAAACGCAGACATGCTGTGTTTTTCTCAATCTTCTCTTGATGTCTGGCAAATTATTTGTTAGTTGATGCGGCTCGAGGCAATTGACGTCTATCATGTTTTTGATGTTTCACCCAACATCGTTCCTGCTTAGGCTCTCGAACTGTCAGGAGGTTGCCTCTGAGCAGGATGTCTTTGTCACGCTGGCGGACATTTTCCGGGAAGCAGATCCTTCGGTCGTGATGGGGTACGCTCGCATCTTAGCAAATCATCACATGTCTCTACTCACACCTCTGTGGGCATCTACTGATATCTACTGGCTGTCGCTAATGCGCCCGAAAGTTAGGCGGCTCTCGCCTTGTCGTGGCGCTCATTTTGCGCTCAAGCTGCGTCACGGCGCCACGCCTAAAGGGAAGTTGTGGGCGTCGAGATCCTGCGCACATTCCGTGGTTGAAATCGCGCCCCCTAGGCGCCTAGGTCCAGTGCACATCCTGAGGCCGGCATATGCCGGCCTCAGTGTCGCGCAGTGCGGCACGGACGCTCACGTTCTCTTCGTGCATCTGCTAGGACCATGCCCTCATTAATGGGTTTCAGATGGCGCTCATGCCTCGGTCCTGTGCGCCCCTCGTGACGTGCAGAACGGTCGTCGCACAGGTCCCTCGGGGAAGATCAGACTTCTTTGTGCCAGAAGGGCAGTCAATGCACAGCATTTAGGGTGTCACAGCAGAGAATTCAAGGGACTTCAGAATAGTAAAGTACATCCTAGATTCGGATTGGCCACTCACACGTGCCTGGTCTGTGCAGGTTGTGTGTTTGTCTTATTTCGGTTGGAAGGTTAGGGCCGGCTAGGGGGAGGGAACGGGCTCAAGGGAATCGAGTACGCCTGAAGCAGCTGTCATCAGCTGTCATTTCCCCTTACCTATTCGTTGATGTGTGCGAGCACTGTGTCACTTTTGTATCAAAAACGTATCCGATTGCTGAGGACATTGTGAAAGGATCGCTTGGACGACTGATTTCGCGTGCGCAGGAATTGGGGATCAGAGGTGCCAACCTTAACGGTGGCCAGAGCATTCGGACGGCATTTGTCGGTTTCCTCGAAAGCTTGCCTCGAGATAGTCTCAAGATGACGTGAGCTCAGTGTGAACTCAGCGTGAGCTACACCCTAAACATCCCTAAATCCCGAACCTGTATGTTCTTGCCCTCGAGGCTTCCCCGAAGCCTTGGCGCGAGCAGCCAGTTCAGCAAGGCATGGAGCACCTCAGGCACAGATGACACATCACCCTTTGAGACGCACGGGTGGCAAGACATGGTTGCAGAGCGTGGTAGTCCCTCCAGGCCCTCCAGGCCACAGCAATGTCCAGCCAAGTGGCAGGCCGCTTGGTCGCGATTTCTGTTTGCATGACTGCGCTCGCTCAGAAAGCTGCCATAAACCGCTTCCGCCAGATATTCCTGGCAGTCCTGCTGAGCAGACAGGTGGGGCGACCCCTGCAAGTAGGGTGTTTACATAGCCTGACCGAGCTCGCCACTCTGCAATTCGGTGTGCAGACTGTGGGTTGGCTGAGCAAGCGGTGGCATAGAATTTGTGGCGGTGTGAGTACGGTATGACTGCAGTATGGGCGAAAGATTCGAGTTGGCAGAAGTCGGTTTTCGACTGATCCTTCTTTGTTTGCCAGGCGCGCCCCGCAAGCTCTATCCACCAGAGCAGGTCAGTGGAGGCCACTGGAGCATGCAGGAACTGAATGAGAACCATTGGGGGGGGTCATTGGGGGGTCATTGGGGGGGTCATTTGGGTCCGGCCACGTCTTCAGGCCTTGAGTTGCCTGGCCGACTGGTACTCAACGTCTGGCGGGTCTGAAGCTTGGGGTGGCTTGGGGTGTGCTTGGGGTATGCTGCTGTAGCCTGCATGAGCCACAGCTGAGATTTCTGTTCTGGTGCCAAGGTGTTGCGAGGGGAGGCGAAATTGCCCACGAGCTCGTTGCACACGGCTGCGCAAATTCTGCGACTGCCTCAGGTGGTATCTGGACACATATGTGTGCAACTTGTGTACATCTTCGGACATCCGAAGTCTCCTATCACAATCGTAGAGGCAGATCATGCCAGATCGTGCCAACATGTAATATGTATAGGCTCTAAACTCTCGTAAGACCATTGCACGTTGCAAGCGCCATTGTGAAGGCAACATTCGTGAAGACAGTTCTGCACTGGAAGGTGCATGCGCATGTCGAACGTCACGAAGTAGCTATCCCCTTGAGCGCATGTGCGAAGCGGCCCGACCACAGCCCGAGAGAACCAACAATTCCCTGACACATTTCGCGGCACCTCGATTAAGCGCCACGACATGCACGTGGGGTTAGTGGGAAAGCCGACCATGGAATGGAATTTAGGCACATTACTGGGCTCTCAACACGGCGCGCAAACTTGGGTTTTACTATAAAATGCTCCAATCATTTGTTGCCCACGGTCAACTTCCTCCCATAACTCTCATTGACTTTTGAAATGGGTTTCTTGAGATCTCACAGACAGAGAGGTCTGTTTGCTTGTTAGGAGACCAAATCTTCGAGCTGCAGTGTATATGCATGGAAATTGACAAACTACAACCGTGTTTCTCTACATACCGATCGCAAGCTCTGACTGCTTCAACAGTTAGACGTGTTCACGCACGGAATGCCTGCAGAAGCTGAAGCACAGCCTGCACATGGCAACAACTTCCGCTGATATCCCCAACCCGAGATCGCTTTGAAAATGCCAGGCATTTGGAGGCGCCTCCAGTACCACAGTCTTGAAGTCCGAGTCTGATAATGTGCACACAGGATCGCGGAATGCATTATTATGACTCTCGATCGACCTGCTGACGACATGCACAGTCGTTCCCATGCCGTGCCGTTTTTATGTGTTGCTGTAGGGCAATGTTGGACATGTGCATGTGCCGCTCGTGACTTTGGCAAGATTCAAGTGGTACGTGGATGTAAAAGCCTTTTGGTTCATATTGTGGTTGCTGGCCTCGGGTGCTGAAAGTGAGGTTGTTATCAGTACTCGTGTTGCTTGTGCTGTTTGTCGTTTGATTCCATAAACATTGACAATACACACATATGTATAATATATATATATACTCTATGTATATCTGTATATATATATATGTATGCATGTATGTATGTATATATGTATGTATATATATATATGTATATATGTATATATGTATATATGTATATATGTATATATGTATATATGTATATATGTATATGTGTATATATGTATATATGTCCCCACAGCCCTGTGCTCTGCAGCCTTGGAGAGATCCTGCCTTTCCTGCCACCAGAAGCGTTGGCCGCAAGCCCAGTTGAACCACTGTAGTATGTAATTGATACATCACATGGGCATTCCCAACGTGATATGACATCCGGTACGGCTGTGTAGGCCCGTCGCTGGAGAAGCTCTGTCCCGCACCGTGTCTGCCTTGGCCAATTGAGTGCTAAAGCCAGCTCGATCTCGGCCATCGTCAGCCACAAGGTCGACTTACAATCTGCTAATGCCGCGAGACGGCTCAAGGCTAACACAACAAAGTGAATAGCTTAACATCTTCAACTTACATCGACTGACAAGAGCATGGTATGCCGAGCGAGGGTCAAACGGCCTCAACAACAACTAGATCAAACTGGGGCTTGGATCGCTGCGAACGTCAGCATGGCTGCGCGGAGGAACCTGAGCTGCCGTCAGCCGTCAATCTGGATACGTCACATCTTTTCGGTGCATTTGTGCAGGAAGACATAGAATCAGTGCTCATGGCTGTACATGCGACATCATGCGACATTGAGCCTGGTACCTCAGATAGTGGTAGTGTCTCCATAGCTTCTCAGACAGCTCAGGAAAACGCCTGCATGGCTGGTGGCCGTTTATGTAGCTGGGATGCTGCTGACAGGTACCGTGAATACCCTGGCCACAAAGGTCCAGTTTGGTTTGACAAGCATCGGAGTTGCAGCTCGACTTTCAGAGAGCCACCCTAGCCGCCCTAGCCAGAGCGATGATTGAGGATCGTGAATAAGAACTCGTACTCTTAGTTGAACTCTCAACACTTGACCGTGCCTTGCCTGTAGACATGTGTCAAAATCGCTGGCGCTTGCAGTGCTTTGGGCATCTCAGGATGGCCAGCCAGAGGTGTTCCAGAAGCCATGGTTTGGAACTTTCAACATGCTGTTTGCGGCGGCCCCAGCTGCCTTACCAAACTCTTGCGATAAGAATCTAGAATCAACGTTGTGCTTGCAAGATCCAAGGCAATGGCGCTGGTCATGGGGGTAGAGCGGCTTGGAACTGGATTGGCTGCGGCCTGCTGCCGTCCTCGCATGCAGATGGAGGACTGCTCATCGTCGGGATTTCGCGTGTGCGGGTTCCAAGACTTTCACGCAATGCCTTTGTGCAACACTGTCAAACATGGCCTCTTCTTCGGCTAAGTCTACATTACTGTAGCCTTTTCCGTCGATTCAGGTCATTTGATGCTGCTATAGTCAAATTTGGACAGCTTTAGTAAGAGGGTTGAATTGTGATAGCTGTGTTTGGAATTGAATATGCTGTGGCTTCCCCTTGATGAACGTGTCTTGGCTGTTGTTGCCTGTTTGATGCGGGTCAGGGACATGGTGTAGCGATGCGTCTTGCAACACTCCGCCCTGAGTCACCGTTGCCAAACTGCTTACCACCGATCAATTCGGCTCGCCGGCACTGTACTTGTCTCGTTAACCCCGTACATTGATTTGTCGTGAGGCAGAGATAGAACGTAAGTCCTGTAGGTTTGGACGCTGTTGGACGGATCTCTCAGCTTTTGAAGCTTGATGCAGAACAAGCCGGACTAATACCCAAAGATAACCATGCGGCGCTTTCAGTGCTTCACTCCCGATCAGTGGTGGAAGTTCGAGAGACTTTCTCAACTGTCAGCAAAGGCAAAGACATGCCAGACGTGGTTAGGAAAATGTCTCGTGCCAAAGCTTGAGGATGCACTTCTACCAAAAGAAGGCGAAGCGCTCAGCTGCATTCCTCAAAGCTTCAACACAAAAAAACTGTGAGAGCTTGGACATGATTAGCCGACCGAACCCAGGATCCGGCAGAGGCAGAAAGATTCTGCTTGTCGCCGTCCCTGCCTTCAGCGACGTGTTCGCGAAAAAGTCTCCAAGATTTTTTTGGGGAGGGCATTGGGGGTACTGTCTGTCTCTCCCATTTTGGGGTTGATTCCGGATGAATTTCTATGTGGAAGACTGTTCATAAAATCGGGCCTGGGAAGCAGTTTGTCACAGTTTGTCAGGGGTGGTTGCTCTACTGCGCAACGTGTCAGGCTGGAGACTTCTGGTTGTCCTGGGCTTTGGTGCGCTTGAAATTCTTGCTTGTCAAAATGTGTCTAAGTCTAGGTTGCTTCTTGGAAGGCACGGTCGGATTGTCACGCACGCCATTTGGGGGGGGGCTTGGGTTCAGAAGGTTGCCACTAAAATCTACTAAATGTGGTTGCGGCGCTGTTGCGCGCTGCTGCTGGTTCTGCCATATCCTGCACCCCGATTTGCTCAGCCAGACAAAGCTAGAGAGACTTGACAGCCTCAGAGAGCAACTTCAATTGACGTGAATGCAGCATCCCGAACAAAATCTATGCCATAGTGACCGTGTAAGTGGGTGCATGTAGAGAAGGGGCGTCTGCACTTGTTCAGTTTAGCTGTCTTGTCTCTGAACTCTAAACTCTCCGAAGCCCAGCGACCTCAAAGTACTGTCAGACCGACGTTCAGGTGACCTATTGGCGACCGTTCTGGCATGCATCGGAATTATGTATATCCCCGCCAGCGTATGGCAAATGCTGAGGGGCCCTTCAGTTGCCATCGAGTTCATGACATGTAGCGAGACAGACAGACTTGAGAACTATTCCTGACATGTCATGGTCTGGTTTGCGGCTGATCCCTGTGGTGAGCGCTTTGCGAGAGGCGCAACGCTGTTCTTCACGGGCATTTTCTCTGTCACACTGCTGAAGCACAAACTCTATGTCTTCAACTGGATCGGGCTTTTACTCTGCATCACAGGCTGGCAAAGTTTCACTATCGTATTTGGCTGCAAGATCATGTACGTAGAGTTTACCCTTGGGCCCACGTGCTGGGTGAGTGACAGTTTCCTTGCCCTGCTTTTGATGACTCCAGGTATTCCAGGTGTTCTAGGGTTGATTTCTACGGTGAAGGCGATGCCATTGGGCTTTGTCTGCTTTGAAGTAGGGCCAGTCTTCAGTCAAACAGCCCAAGTAGCCCAAGCAGGTGTTGTGATCGTTGGCTATGCGAGCGTGGCGGGCGATGCGGGCGGATCAGGGTCTCAAGATGCATCTTCCGTCGCTTTTGGCGTGACCCTCACGTTGCTTGGGCAAGTGGTTCAGGCTGCTCAGGCCTGAGGGTGCGAACGGGAAGGGCGAGATAGTTCAAGTGAAGTCAAGTGAACAGCACAACTTTTCCGAGGAGACTTAAAGAGTACTTTTTGCTGCATTGAGAGGTGATTGCAGAGGAGTATCTTATGAAGGATGTCGATCTCCCAGCAGTGGAAATCATTGGCTTCGAGGGCCTCTGGGGGGTACTGATGATGGTGGTGGTGGTGTACCCGACGCTTTGGCTATTGCCTGGTTCAGACCATGGGCACGCCGAGGACATCGTGGATACGCTAACTCTGGTGAAGAACAGTCACCAGCCAAGCAGAGAAAAGTGTAGAGCGGCTCACGCGTTTTGCAACCCAACTTTCGTGCCGAACATGTGGCTATCCATTTTGCAGAAGTGGTGCGCATCCAAGGTCAAGCGCTGCTGTGCGTCGTGACAATATATTTGTTTTCCTGCGGCACTTTCAACATCACAGGAATTGCTGTGACTGGGGCTTTGTCGGCCGTGCATCGAATGATGCTAGATGCTTCCAGGACTGCCAAGAGTTTCTTGAGATTGCTGCCTTGTCGCCAGTTTGCAGCATCTGCTCCGGGGCGGCGGAACTCATTCAACACACCAAGAGGAGAAAGGGCAGATGACATCAATGGAAGGAAGTCATCCCTGGTGAACCTAAAATCAGTATGAAGAATGTGAGTATAGGTGTCCAATATCAATATGTCAATCATCAAAGATCTTAGATCCTAGTGAGGATGTATTCTCTAAACCCCCTACACGCCCTAAACCCTAAACCCGCAGCCCGCTTGTGCTGGGAGAAAGCGAAACACGGTTTCGGCAAAGGCTTTCGTTTCTTTGGTTGAAGCTGCTTTTTGGGATTGGAGGTTTCGGCTTCTGTGCGCTCTTTGCGACAGCTCAGTCGCAATTGTGGTTAGGCCCTGCGAACCTCTTGCTTTCCTAAGGAAACACCATCGACGCCAGAGTTCTTCTGTGGACCCAAACGACAAACATGTACATTGTGTTTTTCTCGAACCATTACGGCAGGCACTTGTTCATGTCAAAGAGGTCTCAAGCAATTTGGCATGAGAGAACATTGACAGCACTGGAGGGCATGATTTTTCGAAAAATCGCCTCATCAACTTGAGGGTGCCCTCGATTTCTCACTCCATATAAAAGAGAGCAAGAGCGAGTGCTCTGACGTAATTTTCACTTCTTATCTCAAGCTCACGTAGAAGATTCTGAGGTTAATGCTTGGCCAGTCTGCTACAGAACGGTTCAACTGCCACCCTTCAAATAGAAATCCAGCCCCTGATATAGTTTCGCACCGAGATTTTGACGGTCCCAAATGAAGAAATGGAGGGGTCGATTTTCAGGGGCGGGGGGGCGGAAATTCAAGCCAGCTGGCATAGGTTTCCAGGCTCAGAGTACCCTCAATGTATTCGTTTAGTCTTGCTCTCACTTTTCGTTTCGCCGGCTGGCTGACAGCGCTTGTTTCTTGATCCTGTGCTTGCGCTGTAGTTACTGTAGTTCAGAAGCCGGATTCTCTGTACTAGTGCCTTTCATGCGCCTGCTTTGCATCGTTCCTGTTCTGTCTCGTGCTATGCCCTCCAGGAGGGCCAAAGAGGGGCTGACAAAGCGGATCCTTTCCAATTCTGATCTCCAAAGCAAGGAAGCTTAAAGCCTCTTTCCTGCAGTCTTTGTTTCGCACAAGGTGCCTCTTGAACTCCAAGTTCTTGGCCTCAAGTGCGCGCAGCCCTTTCAAAGAATTTCAACTCCTCAAATTGCGCAGCATCTTGGATTGAGGGCTCAACGCTCACCGTTGTTGAGCCCTTGTTGAACATGGATTGAACTCTTCCCGCCAGGACGATGATTATTTGGGGATTTGGGCTTTTTGTGCACTACAAAGTGGATGCGCAGTCGCCGTTTGGTGAAGAGTGGACTTCTTCCAGCGGCCTTCAGCTTTGCGGCTTCGTCGTGCTAATCACGGGCCAAGCCATCTATGGAGAGATCATTCGACTCCCTAGACTGAGGTGTGGCAGCTGCTGTTCTAGCTGCTAGCTGCTGTTCTAGTTCTCACTTGCCATCATAATAGCAAGCACAATGACATGCAATGTGCTCTGAGAGATGCTGTTGCAGGTATCCAGCAAAAAGTTTCGACGATCATGCCTTCGCGTCGCCTGCTGCCGCCTTGAACTTCGCAAGCCCTTCTCTATCGAACAGACCAGAGTAGAAGTACGTCTCACAAAATCTTGACATGACAGCCCTGAGCTGCAAGATTCATTTACCGTGCACATAGCCGGCTGCGCCTTCCAGCTTCAGCACTCAGCCTGACTCAGCCTGCTGCTGGAGGCAATCGATTTCCTGCAACGTTTGCAGAATGCGCAGAATGCGCAGAAAATTGACGCGCACGGCGGCAGTCTTCCAATGTATGCCAGCTGCGTCTCAACTGCTTCGTTTGGCACGGGTGCCAAGGCAGACGAGAAGCCGCCGAAACCTTGCTGTGTGGGCACCCGAGTGACACATCGAGCATTCGCGGGCAGCACATTCAATGAATAAATGCTGCTAAGGCAAGGCAAAGTGCAGCTTGCGACTCTTGGATGCTTTGAACGTGCCGCTCCAAGCCTTCACTCCGTCAACTGGAGCAAAAGTGAGCATGCATGTGTGCATGTGCTTAAGGTGCTTCCGCGTGCAGCGGAGACGGCCAGAATGTTGGGAATAGACGTGTCAGACGCTCAGCATCTTCCTCAGTCTTCACTGAAATTTTCGGATGTGTTTGAGCTCTGACACAGCGTGGTTGGAACATCTTGGGACTTGACAAGCCGTACAAGCCTATGTTAATGTGTGCAACATTTGCCTTGTGTGTATTTGTGTGTCTGTCTTGGCCTTACGCATATGGCATAGAGGAAGAGTCGTTTGGATTGCACAGCTCTCGGGCTGCGCTATGACTGGTTCGGCAGGTCAGTTGTGTGGTGCACAACTATTCTCATTTCTTTCTTGTCATAAATGGAGAAACAATGTGTGAAGTAGGATGCTGCCGTCTGCATCTTCGCAATTAGAATCTACAAGCAGTTGTTGCCTGAAAGTGTGCAGGTTGAGCGTCTTATCCAGAGGATCCCAGTATCGCGTGGAGGGGCTGTGAATCCGGCGGGTGATTGTGCAATTCGTCAAGGTTCATCGAGGCTGTGAAGATGAGTCGCCGTCCCTGGCAATCCTGCCAGGTTGACCCGGGCGGCTCATCAGGAACGAATGCTGCTTCTCTCGCCTTCTAGATCTCAGGCCAGCGCGCATTGAGTCTTTGAGTCTTCTTTCAGCACCGGATGAAACTTAAAACAGCCTGCGGCACACAGGTCGCTGGCCAAAGAGGTGCAGAATGTATACCTTTGGTGATGGAGCACGCAGCTCAGTGAACGGCATGGGCGACCCACATCTACCTAATTGTAACGCTTGCGTGCGCCGCCTCGGCAGCCGCGCTGACCCAATCCTAGGAGGGGGTCCAAGGGGCGAGCAAGCGAGCAAGGGTTAGACGGGGGGCCCCAGGAAAGGTCCCAGGAGGTTTCAATTTGGCGTGGTCTCTGCGAGGAGCCCACAGCCTGGAACCCTCCAAGCATCGGGCTTGTAAGGAGGGAAGGGTTGGAAGGAGACTTGATCCTGGTCTGCCTAATCATCTAGACGCCTCTCAGCTGCAAGCCGAGGTGAATTCCTGGTCTTGCTTTCACAACCGCAACCACATACCCCAACACGAACGAGATTTACTTCGTACATCGTCCCCCGAGTATTTGCAGCTTGCGCTGCACGCTGCAGCGCAGCAAAAGCAAGATCTGCGAGAGGCAGACACCCGTATAATTTCGTGTACACGATCGTACAATGATTGTACACACTGCAGAGGCCGCGCAGCGGCTTTTACTTCGACCCGGTCGTGGTTCTGGATTTTCAATCGCTGCGGCCATAGGGCAAGAGCTGATGTATGACCAGATGACCTCTGAACTTCGGCACGATGGCACTAAACACCGTTGAGGCTGTACCCCTCGATCATCATCGCCTACAACCTCTGCTTTTCTACTTGCGTAGCACACTCAGTCAATAAGTCACTGGGCACTGGCAACGGCTTGAAAAGTCAGCTGTTGATTGTCAAACAGCCAGCACCTTACACAGATCGCCGATCTGGAGCATCGCATCAATAAAAAAGCCGAGCCGTATGAAGATAAACAGAAATACAAATGAATATGAAGATTTTGCACAGATTTACACACATGGCTCAGGCGGCTGCATCCTTTTCAGTTCTTTGTAAAGCCTGCCTCCAAGTCAACAGGCTCGTGCAAACCTCCGTCATGTGCAAGCGTGTGCCAAACTAAACTATCCAAGGTCGAGCGCAGAAAGCTTTAACACATGAACCATTTTACCCAAAGCTTGTGCAGCTGTGGCTAGCCGGGGCTCACCAAGCACGAAAGAAAGGAAACTCAAAGGAGCCACAAGACCGCACACCGACCATGACGCGCACCTCACCACTTCCCACGCAGGCAGGCCGCCTGCAAGACATTGGTGCCGAAGGCAGGCTCGGCGTACTGGAGGCCGAAACATGGAAGATGCATGAAGATACTGAATCAGAGACTCAAGACTCAGCCTGTTGATTGTTGATGACAAGAGACTCGCGAGACGTGAGACATACGTGTCTGCGACCTGCACCGTCGCTCTCGCAGGCATACCGTCAAACAGGCCTGAGGTGCGCCACCGATGGTACCGAAAGCTGTGTTCATCGTCACAAAATGCACTCTCATGGTGATGTTGTGTAGGGCCTAGGCCTATGTAGCCCTTGTGCCTGCTCAGGCTCCAAGATGTATTTGTGACGCCAAACGAGGCCCGAGTCAGACAGCCAGGCAGCGCCCACTTACAGAAAACATCGGACAGGCTGTCTTCGTCAAGAGAGCCAAAAAGCCTGGAATACTGCCTCGGATGCTGCACGAGATTCTACAGCCAGAGGCTAAGTGGCAGAATTGACAACGCAAGGCTTCATGGGAGGGGTGTACCGAATGGCTTGTGCTCCTGTCCCTTGTCGGTGCCTGGGAATCCAAAGCGGTACTACACATGATGCTTCAACTACTTTAAAGAATTTAAAAGACGAAGTACGATCTAAAATATTGAATCAGTCTGACAGGGTGTCTCGAAGGACCCTTCATCGTTCCGAAGCCATGAACCTAGACCACCCCAGGGCCCTTCAGCCATCGCGAGTGGACAGGGGAACTTAGTTAGACTTAGTTGCAGCTGCGTCAACACTCAATAAGTTCCTAAGCCCTGAACTGTTGTAAAAGCATGTAGAAAGGAGTTTTCGATTCTTCAGCTCGACGGACGGGCATGACAAATGTTAACTGAGGTTGGCATTCAAATAGATGGGGTTTGTAGAGATCTTCTACAGTATGCCTACAATGATGACATTCTAGCTTTGGACCCAAGTTGTTCTCCAGCTCTCGCTCCGTCTCGCTCTCCCTCTCTCTCTTGCTCGTTCTCTCACTCTCTCTTTCTCTCTGTCTCTCTTGGAGCTCTTTCTGCATGCGCATAGTTCCCACTCAATTTTGGGCTGTGCATGCGAGGACACGAATCATGGTCAAGAAGGCCTTGAAAGCCTTGCAGAAGGACACTGGAGATGCGGAGGCGACAAGCGCAGCCTTGTCAGAAAGCCGTGGGACCATGACTATCCTGAGCCTGAATCTTTGGGTTCGGATGCGCAACGGCAAGATGCATCCAAGTACGTAGCAAAGCAGCTACCTGCCGTCGTTTCCTAGGTTTCCTGCTTTGGGACCCACTTGAACTCCTGATGCTCGAGCCAACCACAGAGCGGAGCAGGTTTTGCTCTTCGTGATTTACCTGTGATGCTGGTGATACATTAGCACGGTACAGCAGTGCTTTCACATTGAATATGTTTCTTGTTGTTGCTAAGACACTTACATAGCAAGCGGGGGCTACCTCGAGATACCTCGGGAAGACGATAAGTCCATCGCCGTTGCCAATCCATCGTCGTTGTATCGCGGTCTTTGCGAGCTCACTGGGTTTCTGCTTGTCACCTGTTGGGTATTTGTTGCTGGTGGAAAAGGGTTACCAATTCTCCGTTCTTCGTGTTTCGTGCAGGCGAGGGCGCGTCTGCTGGATGCCAGGCAGTTCGGCCTCAAGATGATCGCCAACGCATGAATCTCACTGGCCGTAGGTCTGTTAGTTCTGGCACGGAAGTTGCCAAAGTCAGAGGCCGTAGACTCTTCTTTGGGCATTGACGGTTTCTTAGGTCACATACGGCTACACTGGTGCGTCCTTCAGCGGTAGGCAGGTGAGGGCTCGATATTGATCTGCCCACAGCCATGATGAGGCGTTCGTTGCTGTTGAGCAGGATGCCGTGTGTGGAACTCGCCGATGCCATAGTTCAGACCGCCAGGCAGAGATGTGCACAAGCCCCTTATCAGCTGACCGTCGGGTTCGTAGCTGTAGTTGTCTTAGATCCAGATTTGCGAACTAAGCAATGTTCTTGCTATGCACGAAGCCAGAACGATGTTAAAGCCTTGCCTCTGAAATCTTCGTGTTGCGCGAGAAACTAGTGCTTTCAGCGAGACGCAGAGCCATGAGCACGCACGAAGCGCAATTTGCTCAAACATTCGTCTGGGTCGTTTGTTGTCATTGGGTGCACGAAACCAGGGCCATGCAAGTCGTTCGTTCCGACCGCATTTGAGACGTTCTCCTCTGACTGAAAGAAAGCAGTCCCCTTCTCATCGACAGTCCGCTGCAGTACAGAAGGTGATTAGCACTGCCAGTTCTCGCAAAGCTCTCTGTTGGCAGTTGCTTCGCCGCCCTCCTCATAGTAGACACATGTGCGATGGAGCGGTCGTAAATGGTATCGGCCATGACAGCTGGGGCAGGCGGACCTTGGAGAGGGCTGTCCGCTGGGTCGAGAAAGAGGTACCTGGTGCCGAGGCGCTGACATTCTTGGAGCACAAGAAGAGATACAAGAGGGAAGCGACATGAAGAGACGGTCAGACACAGGGACGTGTTGTCGGTTTCTGTCGCGCACATTCGCAGATCGGCCGCCACTACAAGACATGCACAAAAGCATAGAACCTGGGCAGCTAGCAGTTCAATCGGCTTGGACCTTTGATCAAGTCGCTTCACAAGGCGGAGATCTTTCACAAAAACAACACAGACAAACAACACAGACAAACACGCACGCACACGAACGCGCGCGCACGCACGCGCGCACGCATCCACGGACACACACACACACACGCACACACAGATAAGTAATACACACACACACACAGAAGTAACACACACACACACACACACTGAACAAACATTCGGCATAACACGCTACACTCAAGACACACCCACCCACCCACCCACCCACCCACACACACACACACACCCACATTGACAAAGACTTGGACACCCCTAGACAGCTCTGGAAGAGTTAGCTGCAAGTAGCCGAGTCAGTACATACAATCTTGCATTCGGATAATTTCCCGAAGCCGATTCGAGGCTTCCTTTGAGGCTGTTTGTTGAAATTGCTAAGCATGAACCCTCATGAAGGCACACTAGCCGCAACACAGGCAAAGACGTTGCACAACCTTAAACAAACCCACACACATAGGATGACCGGCACAGGTACGTAATTCTTGCCCAGGGTTATTTCACCCGCTTGCGGCATGGCTTAGCCAGTGCATACTGCAAGGCTCGTGGCCCCCTGCAGAAAGTTGCTAAAGTCCCTTTGTTGCCAGGGTTTCGCAAACACACGCACATGCACACATGCACCTTCACAATTCTACAAGACAAGACAACAAACAATCTGTGCAAATTTTCACCCTACCATACCCTCACCATTCCTGTGGAGTAGAAGTTCGAACGTCAAGACGGATTGATGTATCCCAGGCACTCTGGTTTATAGAAGTAATGATTTTGCTTTGCCGGTGCTTAGTGCTCGGATGTGCTTGATGCACACAGTATATTTCAAGAGGCTTGTTCGACCATGCTGGATGAAGGGGTGACCTTGTGCATTCTGCTTTTACTCGCCTCATTTCACCTGCGGGCCGAGCCTTTGACTACGTTGATGAAGCCGTAGCCGAAGATTGGAAAGTATGTCCGGCCAACGGGGTTGCCCCGTGCTTCCGACTGGTGTATCTCGTGCAAGTAGTGTGAAAGTTCTCGCTGACATTCTCTTCTTGCTGGTCCTAGCTCAATGCAGAAGTATCACTCGTTTTTCTTCGTACCGGCAAAGGAAAAGTTGGAGAGTAGAAAGTGCCAGAGTTGGATCAGAGGAGAGAAGTTGTCGATGCCACATGCTGTGAAGAAGCGGGAAGGTACTTTATGGTGATACCGACTCTATGTTCGTCCGACTGCCTGGGCGATCCAAGGTTCCTCGGTTTCGTTTCCACATGGATCCTCCGAAAGCACATCCAAGGGTGGCTTTTGCTCATGTTTGCTAGGACGAAGCCTTCAAAGAAGGAGCCAGGATAGCCAGGGAGGCCTGCCAACATGTGCAAAGCAGTCCGTCAAGAATAAGCAGTTCTGGTATTCGCTGTCGACAGACAGGCAGCGACATGCTGTACACCAGTCACAGGTGACTAGCCACAACCCGACGCCTGTGGAGCTCCAGATGGATAAAGTGTACTGGCGCTTTCCTCGGACATACTGCTTTTCTCCTCCTACACATTCCTACCCCCACTACAGTTCGAAGGCTTCGAGTATGTTAGAAGAGCATTGAGCACTTAGCTTTTGAAGGCGCGGGAGTGCCCGAGGGAAGTTGGTGGAGCTAGCTAACATGATTGTTAACTTTTCATGATTCAAGCTTTCGCAGGAAGAAGAAGATTGAAATCGAATGCCTGTGGAAACTTGCTTTCCAGCCCTTCCTTATGTGCAACTATGGCATGGGGGTGTATGTTTCTAAGACTAAACCTTGCCGAGGCCCTGTTGCCTGGCGTCCAAGAAAAGCCACATGCTTGGACGATCATGTCCACGTCATGAATGTGCACAGGCATGCAGCGTTGTACGCTCGCCCTGCAACGGAACAACGCACTTCCGTATCAAGAGAGTTGAGGATATGTTGGCCATGCCTGGACATCGCCGTCTGATGCCCCTGTCCAACGCGCACCGAACTTTTGGAAGTGAAAAGTATGGCCTTGTTGCAAGGCCGCACCGGTGTTCGATGCAAAGGGTATAGAAACTGTCCGTTCGGAGCTTATACTACAAGAGGGTGGTTCCGTGGTTCCTTGCGCGATGCCATGCTTCTACACTTTGCTGCAGGCAGGGACCAGTGCACGGCAACGACGCTTGGATAGCATGAGCTCCGCGGCATTTTCTGCGGCATTTCGCCCGAAAGGAGGGAGAGCGCAGGGAGCATGATTTCGATTTCGATTCCTCCTTTTCCGGGCAAGCAGCCGTTATGGGCTGTTCAATTGTCTGAGTCCAGGAATTGTTGGCATTTCTTTGTTGTGATGGGAGCAAGCAGGCAGGCAAGCAACAGTAGCAGTGTCCCTTGACACATTGACAGCAGGCAGCACATGCTTCGAGGCGCTCTCGAAGTGCGGCGGCCAGTCGAAGTTGTTCAGTTGAGATGGCTTGACCTGGGATGCATGGACCCCACCTCCAAGAACAGGTCTTCTTTGAGTCTCGAGGCAATCTGTCCATCCTGAAGCGGAAGCCTCAGATACCTCGAAGCTTTGGCAAGATGTCGTATATGCATTTTGTTTCTAGGGCCATTGGGGTGACAAGACATATCTGCAGGCAGTACATCCGCAGACATGTGGACAGGAGTGCCCAGTGTCGCAGTGTCTTGGTCCAGAGAAGCAAGTCGCGCAACGGTTCAACAAGCAGACAGGCAATTCGCATGACACAGCAACGTCAAGGTTGCTCAGCTATCTAGTTGTCGGCTTCATACATGGTGACTTCTAGATTTTGCTTACTGAAAAGCAGTAAGCGCTCTGTGTTCAAGCTGAAGTTCATGCAAAAAACAAAACCGCTGCGCAGGATACGCGAGGGCCGCTTCAATCTGCAGGATTTCATCTTCCACCACGAGGAGACTGGTTCACAAATGCGCACAGTATCATAGTATCCATGTCTGCATCGACCCCATGGACGCAATCTTGTGCAGGTCAGACCACCTGACGAGTACAAGGGACATGGGCCACTGGCAGCCCAGGCAAGCGACATTCGAGCATTCAGCAGCCGTTTGGAAACTGTTAAAGTTTGGTGCAGGCACAGCCCTGGAGATCATATAGCTTTGGGCAGGGAGAGAGCAAGACCTCAATTTGGTTCAGGCTTCCTCTTCCTTACGCCTTCCCACTTTCACCTTGCTGGGCCGTCATGGGGGTCAGTCCTATTCACACAAGAGGAGCACGAAAGATCTCCCTTGGAGGTATGCGTTCGGACGACGGGAACTCAGCCCCTCAGTGCTCCTACCCATTCCCACCCTCGCCTACTCCTCCTACTACTCCACTAGTACTAGTTACTAGTACTAGGAGTACTAGTGGGTCGTCGTCGTCGTAGTCGTAGTAGTCGTCGTCGTAGTAGTAGTAGTAGTAGTAGTAGTAGTAGTAGTAGTAGTAGTAGTAATAATCATATTAGTTGCAATAGTAATAGTACTAGTGACTAGTAATAGCAATAGCAATGGTACTAGTAATAGTAATAGTAGGAGTAGCAGTAGCAGTAGCAGTTAGCAGTTAGCAGTAGCAGTAGCAGTAGCAGTAGCAGTAGCAGTTAGCAGTAGCAGTAGCAGTAGCAGTTAGCAGTAGCAGTAGCAGTAGCACTAGCTGTTGTTGCTGCTGCTGCTGCGGCGGTTCAACGAACGTACTGGTGCTACAGCCTGACTGCGGCTGTCGAAAGCGGATTTTAAGGGCGGCAGTTTGCCACGAGCGGCATCGACCTTGTTGCGATATTGCGAGGCAGTCCGTCGAAGCGGAGTTTCGTGGCCCTCGCCGGGCGAGAGGCCTTTGCTCACCTGGTTATGTGACGCGTCGGCTTCCAAGCAGCTTGAAAGCACCCGGTCGCCTCAAACATCCTTGCTGCCCCGCTCCCAAACTTTCTCTACTTGATTACAATTGCCTTGCTATTGGTTGTCAACGTACCTAACATATGAGCATGAACCACATTCCTGCCTGTGTCATCTATCGTCTTGTATCGATGTTGCAGCTCCGAGCAGGTTCTCCTTTGTCATCGCGGAAGGCCGAAACTGCGGAGTTCGGGGAGCTGTGACTGGTAGGTCTTGTGGCAAATTGTGGCAGCAAGCCAGCAACTTTCCGTTGGCAGTTGGCTCATGAGGGACTGTTTCGATTCATAGATTCCTACACTCTGAAACAGCAAAGTGGGGCTGATGGGTTTTGTGTTTCAATGTGACACTGACTTATCTGTTTCTTTAATTTAGGCTTCTTTGCTTGATTGTTGCATTCATCTGTGAGCTGGCGTGATGCCATGCGAGCAGAACTCGTTTGGGGCTGCGCTTCAACAGCTGTCGCAGGAAGCACATCAACAGTTTGCTGCACTTTGTTTCAACGATCATCTACTGTAGCAGTTGGTGTGTGTCGGGATCCTCGACAGGATTCGCCGTGTTCTTTCCCTTGGCGTCGCGGAGCAAGTACAAATGTCGATTCCCTGCCCAAGACAAATGGGATGTGCTCATGCTTCGAATTCAGTCATCAGCTTCCTGGCCGCCGTGGGTGCATTTCTGCTTACTGTGGATGCAGCTTGTTGCGGCTGCTTTGCCGCGTGTGTGTCGGACAGGATGCCGGTTGAGCTTCTGCAGTCGGGCTTCGTGCTGCTTCTGTGCCATGTGTTTCGAATACAAGCCTGGAAGACAAGTTAAAATGCAGGGGGGCCGCTTCACACCAAACTGTCATTAAACTTATCATCGTGTTGAATGTGTATCCTGACATGCCCAAATGCCCCAAACCCTCATTCACAAATATTCTGACATTTCTCACACTTTCTGCCAACCGCTTTCCGAACTCCTGGGGAGACTTGTTCCGAGGTTCTTGGCACGACGCTGATTTCCATGACTCTTCAAGCTTGTGTCTATCCGGTAGCCGTGGCCAGCGCATGGATCTCATGGCCTTCAGAGAAGGGGCCATGGCTGGCAAGCAGAGGCGGGCATCCTTGAGTGAAGAAAGAATCAGTACGGCATGCAAAGAATGGTCGTTGCCATGCCATGAAGTTTGCCAATTTTTGCCTACCTTTTTGTTTACTTCAGGCGGCATGTTCGCAGACCCCAGTCTGCTGGGTCTGCGTATCCAGTTGTACGTGTTCTTCGGATATCTCCTGAATGACTTGCCAATGACTTGGAAGAATCCCTTGCTACGTCTGCACCACATAGTCTGCAGCTAGCCCTGGATCAGAGGCTTTTTTGTTCAGCTATTTTGACTCTGGTCAAGCCGACACAATTGCTTCGCGGGCGCCAACTGGCATAATTGCCAAGGTATCGTGGGCATTCTGGTTGCTTTCCATGTTCCTGAAGCACATGTCCCAACTGCTCTCGGGATATTTGTGCTTGAGTATGGAAGCTTGTTCTACAATGCGTGGCTCATCGATGAGACGCCTGGCCTATGACATACTTCTTCCCAATAGTCGCTCCTGAGTTGCTCACCGCAGCTCTTCACAGCGAAGGACGATGCGTGATGCGGCCATGTTCTCATGGTGGCCCAGCTCGCGAAGGATCGTCTCTCTCTTCTACAAGCTGGGAATGACCATCTCAAACGTAGCAGCTTGTCGGCAAACACGGCATGAACATTTTCACACCCCGTGCAAGCATCGCATGCTCACCTGCTGCTCGGAGAACACAGGTGGCAGGCTTCCTTCTGCTGCAAGTGGTTTGGAGCAACGGCTACGCACATTGGGGCTTCAGCTGCTTCTATGCGCTCTGCCTCAAGTGGAAAGCCATGGAATGTTTTACTAGCACCGCATGTAGAGCACAGACCACACATGACCACACCACAGCTGATGTCAGAGTCCTATGGCAGTGCTGTGGCAGAGCCAGTGAAGGCAGCTTGCGGAGCTCCACTACTCCTGCTGCGCCAGAAGGAGGTTCACTGCGCCGAGAAGCCATCTTCAGCCGTGTCCAAGATGATCAAGATGTCAAGACTGTCAAGAGATTAAGTCCTTTTCCGACCGTCGGAGCGTTCCGAAGGCAGGAGTGAGGGGTCTGGTTAGTGACTCAGTACGTCACGCTGAGCGGCTTCGGTAGTCATGATTCTAAACTGTAGCTCCATGAGGACGTACTTAGGAGACAAGAACGAACCTGCAAGAGCTGGGCATGGCAGGCAATCGAACTGCTGGGCCATGCACGAGCTCCAGGTGTCGGAGTGTGGCGGGAGTGACGAGGCGTGGATTTCGTACGTTCCGCCAACGCTGTGCAGGAGCGGCTGATGAAGCCCGGAGAAAGATTTGAAGGGTATTGAGGGTACTCGAAGGACTTGGATCACTGATGGAGCAGCGTTTTTTGCATCTGATTGAGTCGTATGCGTAGCCGTTCCCCTTGCCGGAAGTAGATGGCCAGAGTGCTTGGCAACTATAGCGTATATTGCAAGAGCAGAACAGTGTAAGCCTTTGGAGCACGGGATGGTTTAGGGCTCCGCGCTTGGCAGCGGAGCTTATGATCTACAGTGGCACATCATCATCTACGAGTTGCCTCCGTAGCCGGTTCGATGCTACGCACGAGTTCAAGTACGGCTTGCTTAGGAGGTCTGCAGAAGGATGCAACAAGATATCAACTCAAACACAAACAAGCACAAATTGGGGGGGGGGGCATTTTGTGCAGCAGTTTGGTACTAGAGTGAGACCCAGGGAGATGGCGGTAGCGGTGAATACGAAACCGGTTGCTTTCCACAGCTAGGAGCTGTTGTTTATGTTAGTTCTGTGGTTCTTTTTTCATTTTTTTACTTTGCGAACTTTGCACTTCGCATAAGTAAGGCCAATGTATTGTCGCATGTTTTCTCAAGCCCGTTTTCATCGAGGTCGTACCGCCCTTGCATCAGCCATAGGGCAACTCCTCGATGCACCTGGAAAAATTGGCAGCTGTGATTAATGTGTGGCGGTCAACTTTAACCTCCAAATTATACTGTTCGCAAGGCGGAAACTTGAGAATGAAAGACAGCTACTGTAACAACCGCGCAAGTTATATTCATTAGTTAAATAAGAGATGGCTTGATGCTTGTAGGATTGTGCCCTTACTCATGACTGTTTCCCCCCCAAATTCTACAACTGTCAGAATTTAGGTGGCTGGATTCACATAATTTAAGGGCAAACATACTTCTTCAGGACAACTTTCCTGTTTACATTTGTAACCCTAATATCCCTATCTCAAGGATTGGAAGCTAGCTGGCCGGTTCATCGTCCAAGTAGTTTCATCACTATGCCGGACCTCCAGTTATGAAATCACAAAAACTCACAAAAGCTGCGTCATACCGGCTTTGCTTGGGAGTACTAATGTGATGAAGAGTATTTTCTGCAAGTTTCTGATCGTGCGCCTGCTCGCCCCCCCCCCCCCCCACACTCCCTTTGGTTTTTGTCGCACTCTCCAACTTATCTGAATGAAAACATGTTACTAGCATATAAGTTAGAGGCCATTTGTTATGAAAAGTCAATTGTTACAAGTAGCCCCTAAATGCGACATGCTTAATTATGCCACATATGCTGCTTCGCATACGCACACATATTGCACGGGATATTCGATTTATTGCATGCATCCCCATGCCATGGCCCAATGTGTGAGGCTTTGTCTGCAGTAAGTAAGACTCTTATGTAAACAAACACGTTTATTTCTCCAACCTACATCGCCACGCTGGTAGGTCCGGGGGGAGCATATATATATATGCATACATACACATATATCTGTATGTACGTATACATGTATACGCGAATGCACATTTTTCTTTACCAAATGGGGGACCGGGGGCGTGCACCTGCTCCTTCTTCTGTAGAGGCTCAGGATTCTTATGGGGCTTGAATACTCTGGATCCATTCCGAGTCCCTGGTAGGCTTTGGGAGGCCCTACGAACTGGGAGAGGCCTGGGTACTTTGGACAATCTCAATACGAAAATTCGCCATCCTCTTTTTTTCGTTTTCTCATTTGTGTCATCTGTGGTTCCGAAATGAAAGAACGAGACTTTAGGATGCAGAGAGAAGATAGCACCTTCGGATGCTGTCAGTTTAGGTGGTTCCACAACAAATATAGTGTAAGAAAGCATACTGTGTTTATTTGGATAGCTGTGTATTGTCGTTAGGACGCCATCTCGAAATCGCCCAGTAACGAAGACCCGTTTTGGCTTGAAAGGCGTGAACCCAATGAACCCGAGAACCCGTGGCCATTTGATAAGAGTTCGAAGCAGAAAGTGCAGCACTACACACCACTTACTTACGCCAGGGTCTTCCGCTGCATTCTTGTTGTAATTATGTGTCTTGTTGCTCAAACTTCAAACTGAGGCCGGCAGGTCTTAAGTGCAAGTGAAGCTGCTTTTTTTGGGCGCTCGAGCATAGGTACTTTGCAGCGGACAATATTATTGTCCGCGGAAGGGGTGAAGAGGTGAACAAGATTGCGCGGAATGTCGCGGAAGGGTCCGCGGAAGGCGTGGTGTCCGCGGGAGGGTCGCGGAAGGTCAGCATGCTTGAAACGTAGAAAAAAGTAGACGCCCAACATGCCGGCAACCAGAAGAATCGCGCCCCATCACTTTTCCAAGCTGTTTCGGAGACCGGATCTCCGCGGAAGGGTTGCGGAAGCTCCGCGGAAGGCAACGGGTCGTTTGGAAGCCCAGAGCCCATGCCTCTCCCGTTTCTATGCTTCCCAACCCCTTCGTTAAATTCTCATATACCTGTACTGTACCATTAAACACATAACCCCTAAGCCTTGACCCTTACCCCCAAGGCCCCTGACCCTCAACCGTAAAGCTTCAGGGGTATATACTCAGGTTGCTGATTTCTGTTTCGGGTGAGAAGGTGGCGTCGTGTATTTCCGTGGAAGTCACGCGGATTACACCGCGGAAGGGTCCGCGGATGGGGTATAATGTCCATCGATTCATGCTAGAGAAAAAACACGGCTCAATTGTGTAAACTGTGTAGCTTCGAGTCTTTTAGTGTTTTGCATCTGTGCATGTCTGCCAGAAAATCTGCACCCACAAATCCCAGCGCCCGACAGAAGGAAACATATGCTTTCGGGATAAAGTTCACACGATAGTTGGGCGGCGGAGGAGCTCCCTTCCCCCAACAGACCAGACCTGCTTGCAGGTGGAAGAATGAGCAAGATGCGTCGGTAGATGGACTCCGTGATTGACATTCGGAGACCCGATGCAGGGGCCGCGCAAGATGGTGCAAGCATGCAAAAGGAGGGCCGTTGAGCAATGGCTGCAGACATTTGTGAGCTTACGGGCGCCGCAGCTGCAACGCGGCCCTGATTAGCGAAGCTTCCGTCCCTCACTGTCACCTGTCCAGGTCATGTCTGTCCTAGCGCCAAGAATGACTCTGTAAATTGCAGGTCCGCCAGGGTCGAGGCTGGCCGATGTAGCAGCAGTGCGCTGAGCCTGCCTTCGCATTGTCTGTGATCAGTCCTGATGTGTCTGTCATTTTCCGTGAAGCTGCGCGTTGTCCTGAGCGTTGCTTTGTCTCATCAGGTAGTTCCGGGGGAAGTTACTGGCGGCCGTCCGTTGCAAGCACCCGAGGCAGAGGCACTTTGTCGGAGTGCTCAATGCTCTTTTAAGTGATGGCCCAAGACAGCCATGGCTGGCCAAGTAGATGAGTAGATCAAGCAAGTGCCAGGCAGGTCGCACACCGCTTTTCCTGAACGTCGAGTATTATTTGGAGCGTCAGATTGGTCCAGCGCTTCATCGACTGTTTATGCTAGTCAGAGGCAAAGTTGGGTTCGAGCATGTTGAACTTCATGGCACTCACTTCTGCATCAGTGTTCCTGACAGCAGCGACCTGATCCCTGAGGACCAAACGGACTGCAAGGGCAGGTAGACATCCGTCGTTGGATCGCAGAAGGGCCTCGCCCTAGGCGAAGGCCGGGACAAAGCGAGTGCACATGAGGATCTTGTCAGTGCTGCATCTGCCTAGGCCTCGTCATACTTTTTGAAACACTGTGCACCAGTCATTCCAAGCTGCATGCTAGATTTGTATGCGTTGCGAAAGCTCAGGAAGCCGTAGCTGGCCAAAAAGAGGTCCAGAAGCCCGCAACCGAAGCTGGAAAGTATCTCAAGGACCCTAAAGGACCAATTCGGCTTTGCCCTTTTGTTACATGATTTTGCCCCTCGTTTTTATACCCAAAGTCATGCTTCCCAAAAGTCGAGAGTTGACTTTCTCTGGCTGCGCTTCAATCCGTCCCCCCCCCCCCCCACGGTAAAACATCATCCCGCAGCCAGCCCCTTCGAGCAGCTCCCGCACTTGTCATAGGTCAGTTTTGAGCAGAAACGCCTCGCCAAGAAGTGATACAACTTATCAGACTGGGTGTTAGGTCTCGGTATATGCTCTCCCATCAGCATACGAGTGTGCTGATAGGCCTGCAGTCGGCAAACTGGAACCCCAACTTGTTCTGACACATTCTGACACAATTGGAAGGAAAGCACAAAAAGCACATCTGCAATCTGAAGCTATATGCAGCCGCAGACTTGACGCTGCATATTTGGGAATACCAACAAACTGCATCACTGCATGAATCTGCTCGTAGAGTCTATGGGCCTATAGGCCAAAGAGCCGTAGTTAATTGCTCGAGCAGGGATGTCGCCGCTATTTCAATGCGGAGTTCCTTGTTCTCTGCATCTGCCATGCTGAGCAGCATGGCTGCGGGCTTCATCTGCCAAGCATGTGGGCAAAAGACAGGCAGGCCACCTGACTGGTCATTTGCCGTTCGAAGAGCAACATAGCTCAACATAGAGCCACGAGGTGCCATGTTGCAGTCATATGTTGCAGTCATAAATCTTGGGCTGCTAAGCCTTGCAAAGATACTGAGACCTAGTTTGTTGCGTTGTCGAGGTGCCAGGATCAGCGGCACGGTCGGTCTTTGCGGTCAGTGTCAACGTGGTGGAGCTGTTCCCTGCCTTGTGGATAGTTTGGATATTCCAAGTCTGGGCATTTGGGTACCTGGGGTACATGTGCCTGCACATGCCGGGATTTTCGCAGGGTGCAGCCGCTCAATAAATGTCAAGACACACGCAGACCAGTAACTGCCTCAGCACTCACTGGAATCTCTAGAGGCCCCTTACAGTAGGCCCTAACCGCCATGCCGCAAATAGAACTTTGCCTCTTCGCTTGGGGTTCTCGTTGATGTGCAATTTTGCGCAATGCATGATGCTGCATGGCCGAGGTCGAACGGCTTCTTGAAGGTATGTCTCAACGAGGCTACTGGGAGAAGCGCGTCCAGGGATGTGTCGGCCTGAGGGTAGCAACACCACTCCAGCCCATTTCCCTGCCATTCTCGCTGTTGTTGAGGTCGGGAGATGTGCATGAGGTGCAGCAACTCCACCGACATCGAAGAAGACTGCCGCAGCATCTACTGCACAGTCTTCTTTCGCAAGGCATCGCAGTTATATAATGGCATATAATAACAACAGGTTTGGGAATGAGAAGTGGAGTGCAGTAGTGCTTCACCAGGATCAGGAAGGACCAGGAAATTTGTGTCACCAATAGTGTCTGGGCGAGCAGACCAGCAGGCATGCATTCCAACATGACTCAATTGCTAAGCTTGCGCAACTGCACCCAGCAAAGGCTTCGGGGTCCTCCTTCTTGTGAAGTGTAGTCAAGCTGCTGTCAAGCTGCTAGTTCGGTACGAATGGGTGCCCTGAGTTACCCCATGCTGGGCAGTAGCTGGGCACCGGAGTTAATAACGCCGTTTCGTAACCACAGCTGGGATGTGTGATTCCATGTGATTCTCTCACCAAAACACTAAATGACTACTGTGTTCTCGCTTCTTGCCTGTCCTGGATCAGTTTCTCATACTTTCTCACTGTGCCCCATGTGTTTTGGCCATCACTTGTTCTCCTTCGCGGCCGTTGGAAACGGGACATCGCAACTTTCAACATAAGCATCGTAGAAGCCACTGCGCTCCAGCTTTGCATCCCGTTTGCTGCGTGTTGTAGAATAAAATCAACAAGCATAGGTTCAACCCTGGAGGTCAACGCACATCTGCAGCTCAGCGCGTGTGTCTCTCCAAAGTCGTGGCCAGCCGCAGCGGATTGGTGAATGGAAGGGCGTGTAGACAAAACGTTGCGACAGGATTGGCTTGCAGATCTTGCGGTTGTCCTGTGCAAGAATTGTATGTTTTCCACACTTTACGTGTTTCTGAATCCGCTCCCGATCGGTTGGCTCGAGACCTTGCACAACATGTGCTCATCCGTCAGCGAACGTCTGGAACCTCCCTAGACTGCTTGGAATTCCACAGTTGCGGCCTTGCTTGCGAGAGGATCTCACAGTTTGTTAGTTGCAAGCAATCGTTCCTTTTGCTTTCCACGTGTCTTCTCAGCCGGGTTTATGCAAGCAGGAGACGCTGACTGCAGAGACTGCAGAGGATGCCATTCGCCTCGGCACCGTGCATCACTGTGCGTTCTTGCACATCTCTAAGTTGAGATGTCTTGTCGCACAAGGCGAGCCGCCATTTTCCTCGCGCTTGTGCACGCCGCCCACGGCATCCTCCGGGACAGCGCTAGCTGCATTTAGCTGCATTTAGCTGCGAACTTCCATGAGTTTGCCAGGAGCTGTACACTACGAATGCGGCCTGCAAAGCGCAGTACTGTGTCAATCCAGCTGGGGCCCGAAAGCTGGGGCTTTCCAACGTCTTCAAAAGTCAAGTTCTTCAGATCTTTATAATGTCAAATGAATGTTCCACCCTCTTCAGTGAGTCCCCGCCCCCCCGCCCCTGAACGAACAGTCGAAGCTGTCCCGGGATGGTATATGATTTCAAAAGGGATGAGGTTATATGAGGCCAAAAGGGATGCCGAGGGCCACTTGATGTTAAAGGCACGCCACACGCATACATATTCTTACGTCTCTCGGAAGACTTGACTAGAGAGGAGCCCGCTCAGGACCCCAGACCGTCACGAATAGCCCGGCAAAGTTGGCTGAATAGAGGGGGCCGCCACTAAGGAGGAGGGAACATGTATGTCATATGTTATAACACCAGGCAAGGAGGTGGTCGGGCTTGATGCAAGTCACCGCAAGGTGTTCCCAGCTTTGACCGATCTTCCGAAGCTGGAGAAGCAAAGGCACAGCGGCATGGTCACGTCTTGTCAACATCATGCAAGAATTATTTGTAAGCGCCAAGAAAGATTTACAAGCCAGCCGGTGCGCAAGCGTCTCTGTTTGGAAATAGATATGATTTGTGTGCTGCGTGTGTGAAGATCTGAAAAGAGTCAGCGACGCCACAGCTGGGGGTTCTTTTTTCGTCCCGAAGCAGCTTTAGCTGGGGGTTCTTAATTGGTTGAAGGAATGGGCTTCTGTGACGCTCATCTGGAATTCTCACAGCACTAACCTAAATGTTGCCTTTCATTTGTCTCCTCATGTAAACGCTATGCGACCCGCCTCGGCCTGAGCTTCTGTAACAAGGCAACCCAAACTAGGGGATACTAGGGGGCTGTGGGCAGTGGTGGGAAAAGGCTTGGGGGGGTGGGGGGGGGGTGGCGGGGGTGGGGGGGGTGGGCGGGGGCGGGGTGGGGGGTGGCGAAATAAAGGTGCCACGGATGCTGTGACGTTCGTCTGGGACAATAGGTCTCCCATTTGTCTCCGAGTCGCTTCCCAGACAGCTGTAGCTGGGCTTATTTGTTGGTTCAAGTAAGGGCTTCTGTGACTTTCATTTGGATTCGTCATGGTGCTGCTCTGAAAAGTTGTCTCCCAGCTGTCTCACACTGGACGCTGCGAAGCCTGTGTGAGACTGTTCTTTCCCATTTGTCTCCCAATTTTCCCCCTTGTAAAGTGAGCAGACCCTAGATGCTGGATGCCCGTCTGGGTGATGTCCCCCATTTGTCGCCAATTTGCCTCCGTCCCACAAACAGCTTCAGCATTCAGCGTGGGGCTCTTAATCTGTTCCCCAGACAGCTTCACCGGGGGGGGGGGGTGAAGAAGAGTTTGTGTGCTGTAAATCTGCTTTTGTCATGGCACTACTCTGTGACACCCGTTTGAGACCCTTGGCTCGCATTTGTCTCCCATCTGTCTGCCTTTATAAAGTGAGCAGACCTGCATGCTGTGATGCCCGTCTGGGAGTGTGTCTAGTCTCCCCTTGTTCCCCAAACAGCTTTGGTTGGGGTTCTTCTTATGTTCGAACGAAGGGATTTTGTGACGTTCATGCTTCATTTTGCGTTTGTCCCAGCTGACTCGACGCTGGATGCTTCTCCTATTCTCTCCTTTTGTAAAGAGAGCAGCATCCCGTCTCGTTTTGTCTCCAAACAGAGCATTTGGCTAGGTCCTCAACGAAAAGCATTTCGATTTAGGAAAGGGTTAGGGCCAATCATAAGCGAATACGAGTTTAGGATCGGGTTTAGGACAGAATTTGCAACGCGTAGGATCTGACCTAGACAGAAGTTATTTCCTTTGCAAGCCGCCAGATCGCGAGATAGTACTCTCGAAGGAGCTGAAAGATTGCCTAGTGTCGTTGTTTCGGGCCGTCTATGCTGGTGAATGCTGCAGGTGGAGCAAGCACAGCTATGCAAACTTAACGAAGTTCATGAAATTCTGCTGCTGGCTCAGTGGTGGTGTCAGGATGTCCTTTCTTATAGTGCAAGAAGCCTTCGAGGTGCCAAAACGGTGGAGTACAACATCGCCACCTCCCCAGCAACCCTTCGATGCACTGCACGGACATGCCTTCTGCTGGGCTGGTTGCTAGCACAGTGCCCGAAATTATACTACAAGAGCTAGGATCTTCAAGAGCTCAGAAAGGGTAGCTTTTGCCGATGAGATGGTCAAGCTGCTTCATTTTTATCTTTCTCAGCTTAGCGTTCATGGCAGTCATTGCCACATTGGTAGCTGCCGGCTGTCAAACCTGACAGGCATTGCCCTTAATCGAGGGCCCGCCCAACGCCACACGCATCCAGGACATCCGCAGTACATTCCAATTTCCGCTCTGGATAGCTGTGGGTCTGAACCCGTCAGTCCAGTTTGCTAAGTTAATATTGCTTCGTTTTGTGATAATTCTCTCTTGGCGCAGACCCTTTTCTTGAACTTGGTCTTGCTAGGAATTGGTGAGCGTTCAAGACCGCCAGGCAGCGCAGACGTGACCCACACTCGGTATGTAGTTTGGTGTTGGCAGGGTTGTCAAAGCAAAAGAGGCAGGATTTGCAAGTGTTGACAAGTGTTGATATCCGTTGGCAGACGAATGCTAGGCATAGCTAGCGAGAACTGCAGACGTTTGCAGTCGAATGTCTTTCCAAGCGATACGTGGGCTTGCCGATATGCGGTATTTTTCTTCCATGGCTTTCCGGCAGGCTCTATTTGCGAGAGTTTCTTTCTTGGCCTCTGACATGCCCCGACCCGACCTCGCACCGATGTTTGCTGGCACATGCCCTTGAAACAACATTCAGCCATTATGCAGTACTTTGGGCACGATAGGGATTGCTGACTCTGTCGAAAGACTCACGAAAGGGTTCATAAAGTTTTGATGCAAGTCACAGCTGCCAAGTAAGCCGCATGCCCATTCTGTACGTTGAGTAACATGGACACTTTCGGCAGCCAGTATAAATCTCTGTCAAGCCGGGATAGATGTGAACATGGCATTGGTCTACTAACCAACGCGTATCTAAGGTGAGCTCCGCCAAAGTCCGCCTTTTTTCCCGTGAACGAACTTAGAGCAACTTCATTGTATTTGCTTAGAATGTCTCCCGCGATTTCAAAGAAATTACACACCAAGCCTCAGCTCATCAGGTAAAAATGTGCAAGTCGACAATAGTGTTCTGTTCGTATTGCGTTGCAAAGTGAGCTGTTGGCAGAGGTACTTCTACCATCTTTCAGCGATGGGGCTGGAACCCTGGGACCATGCCAATCCATTCGAGGCTTGAATTGTCTAGTGACGACTATTCTCACATCGATTCATGCAGCCCACAGGGGAACAACGTTCCGATGTGCTTTGGCGCATAGTCCGCTTTAACATGCGCCGTATTGGACCCCCTGGAAGCAGGATTCCTCCAGCTCCGATCGGTCCTGCGCACGCGAAGTTGCGAGGCCTGCTGGGTACTTGGCATTCTAGAAATTCCGGAATCAGAAGGTGTCCCAAGCTGTCCCAACAGACTCGGATGTGTTTGGGACTGTCCGCTCGCGGAGGGCTGGTCGTCTTTGGCACAGGATGGCTTGCTTCACGTATTTGCCTGCTGCGATCCATAATCTACCGGACGGAGCTGAAGTCAGGCCACCATGGCGCCTTTTCTTATCTTTGCATTTTCTCTATAATATGTATATGTATGTATATACATATATATATATGTATGTCAATGAGATGTGTATCTGTGTATATCTGGAGATACCTTGAGTCACATCATGTCACAGGTATCATCGGCCTTGCGATACAAGCTGCCAAAGTTTTCTTCAGGTTCGCTGTACTTGCAGAAAGTCTTGTAGCTGGATACCTGTATACCGTTGTATGCCCTGCATCTTCGGAGACTTGCGGCGTCGAATGCTGCGATGAGAGCACCACTTGTGCTGGAGCCCTAGCGACCCTAGTGTGGCCGTTCTGCAAGGTCTTGAGTTGTGCGCACTTGCTGACACCCGATTGCTTTCAGACCTGGTTTGCCTCCGTTTCCGCAAGCCTCCCAGAGCTGGAGGACAGACTGCGCACGTGTAGAAATGCTTCTCAGATCGGACTAAAAGTGGCAGTGACCCACAACAGCAAAGAATACGCGCAATCACAAGTACTGCATCCAAACAACAAAAGGCAAGTTCAAGAACAGAGACAACATCCATGCCGCAGTGCTGCCAGGTTCCAGGACTTGCAACTCCATCCTCGACCTGTTGCCCGGAGAAGGCCTGTTGCCACGTGCACTCATGGTTGGCTCGGTTGACGACCTGTAGGCTTCCTTGAGTCACCCCCTGCACACCCCCTCATTCAGTTCTTTTTCGCCCTCTCTCTCCACCCTCTCCACCCTCTCCACCCTCTCCACCCTCTCCACCCTCTCCACCCCTTCCACCCCCTGCACCCTCTCCACCCCCTCCACCCTCTCCACCCTCTCCAACCCCTCCACCCCCTCCACACCAGTACTTTTTGA